CACTTCTTTCTAAGCCAAAAATCTTTCCTCCCTCCTTTTAATCAAAACACTTGTAACAGATATACATGTGTTAGGATATTCATAGTCATCAAAATTAAATTTCAATATACACCCAGATGCATTTCATCGTGGTACGCTATATTTTTTGAAATAAAACCAACACAATTTGTGGAAAAAAATCTCATCCAATTTTTTCGGAATTTAAATGCAGTTTTTTTTTCAAAAAACAAGGATTATTATAGCATAACAAGATGCTTTCGTCTTGTTGTGCAAACATTCTAGATTTTGATTCTTCGCATACTTGTGATTTGAACTATGAATTCGAAATCATTAATTTTCGTAGAGATATGCTAATTGTATGACCAACACCACTATAAATAGAATGAGTAGGTGTGTGTTAAATAAAAAAAAAATCAAGTTACTTTTATCTATTCTTTATATGTTAACGATTAAATGTATATAAACAAGAACGCGCATAGGTTAAATAGATAATACTCTTTGGCAAAAATGTTTAGGCAAGATTAAAAAGTTTGAAACGATTTTAATATATAGTTATTTAATGTATCTACTAACTACCGCATCCGTCAAAAACAATTAAATAATTGTCAGTTTAACTCAATCTCTTTATTAGATGAATACGCGCATGCTATAAAAGAAAGAGTATATCTTTTGACATCTTCACATATTTTATGCCGGAAATAACTTTTGATTGGAGAAAAATTTGGCGGCTTGATGCAAATATCTTGAGGAATGCCGTTTTTTTCGATAATCACAGTTTTACTGATTGTGATCCAACGAGAATTGAATTTCCTAGAATTGCAGATATGTCACCTTTTCAAACATTTTCCCATTTATTTCCGGCTAATTTGTATTCATCATTTTACATCAACAGATACGGTTCATTAAAGTTTTTCTCCGTGATTGTTTATAGAAAATCTTCCAGGAACTAGTAGCCTACAAAAATTTGTAGTCTCATTATCCAAAAAATATTCCCAATTGATAATATATACTATATCATTTCCTTAGATTCGAACGTTTTTTATTGTTCTCGCAAAACAATTATGTTTTCACATGCAGAAAAATAATGTCGAATTGACCGGTTTCTTCAAAAACGGCTTTATTTTTTCGTGGAGAAAACACTTTTTCTTTCTTTGTTTTTTTTTATTTTCATAAAAGGGTATGTGAGCTGAATTTATTGTTCTCTTTTAGTAGAAATTTTCAAAAACTCAAATCATAAATTTTGTTCGAGGCACAATGTTTTCGGTCGACATTTTCGAATGTTCTGATGTGTTTGCAATGAAAGGATAAAATTATCATCGTTGTTTTAAAATAAAATAAAAAAGAAAATTATATGTAGAAAATTATTTGAAGCGTTTAAAATCAATGTAAGACAATTGTTTTAAATTAAATTAAAAATAGTTATGAACAAACAAAAGAATGTAATTTAATTTTAATTAATTTCATCAATTTCTGTAACAAAAACTGTTTTAAAACTTTTTCAAATTGATTTCGTCGTAGCGATGGGAAACTGCTAGTAGTGTATGATTTTTTTTACGTGTCAATTATGACATTAAAAATATACCAACAATTTTCGAACGAATCTTTGTGTTTTAGTATCAAATATGAAGTAAAAAACCCCGTGATAACTGGACTGTACTTATAAATTAAATAAAATATGAGAATGTGTGGCAATATCGTGAGAAAATTAATATATTATTTTCTGGAAATGTTTTGATTGTTTTTTTCTTTGTATGAATCTATTAACTGAGAAAAATATCCGGAGTTTGGTGAAACATCGCAGAACTTTTTTTTTTTACTGAGCTGGGTCAAACTTCAACAGCTACAGAATTTATCAAAAAACCAGATGTCCCATTCATTAACACGATTTTTTCCAAACCGTGTTAATGACGGTTTTTTGGATAAATTTCAGCAATTTAGTATTATTGCAAATTGTTTCAAAAAAGAGATTCAATAAATAGTAGTAAGAAGAACAAAATTAACGTGTTCTAATTTCCCAAAACGAAATTTAAAAATTATTTTTGATATGCTTTTTTTTCATGAAAATTGTAAAGGTCACCTTAAAACACTTGTTAAGGGTTATTAAGAAATTTTGAACCATTAATATGAAAGATAGCTTCAAATGATTTAGTACATTACTTTAAATACTTATAATTTCAGTAAATGTTGCACACTCAAACGTTTTAAACACTCATTATTTTAATTAGTATTATTAGTTGAGTGTTTCTTCATTATCTAATTCTAATTCAATATGTATAATTGAAGAGAAACAATGGATTGTCAGGTCCGAAATGATCCCGCTGAAACGTTGATACATAGAGAAGCCAAACCCGAAGATAGAAAATTTTCCATTTTAATTCCTGGTTTCATTGAAAAACTGCAATTACTAGTAGAAATTACTCCACCAGTTCATCCGGATGTTTACTTATATTCATCAATCAGACTCAATCCTGGCTCGTTTCTAATTATACACAGAATTTTTTTACATTTTTCGAAGAAAAGCCAATATTTTCAGAAATCAGTTGTGTGAACTTTGTTAATTCAGAGAAATTTTATATATGTAATGGCGTAAAACATTACCACGCGATATGCAGCTGAATTTGAATGTTATTAATTTCCTTGTAAAACCTACATATACCACATTATTGCATTTTTTTTCGAATTTCATACCTCTTCGAACTGAACTCACTCGTGAAATACATTCTACAATAATTTACATTTTTTGCCATTTTTTTTTTTGAAATTAAGTCCAAATGTTCCCGTAGTGATTCGAATCACTACGTACGTTTGGGAATAAAAGCAACAGAATTCGGGTTATTTGTGAAATCAAATTTCGTTTTAATTTAGTTTTTTTTATTTGAATTAATCACATTGTTTATGTTTTTGACCAGTTACACATTCTTAATATTTAAAAATTACGTTTATTTATTATTAGCTAGTATCATATTAATATTGTTTTATTTTAATCTAATTAATGATTTTTTGTTTTTTGATATTTTCATAATATTTCAAAATGAAAACCACCACTCTTTTGAAACAAATTTTTATTGGTATCCACTATTGTATAGAAAATTAACATGAAATATTAAATCCTTTTTTATTTACCAATGTACACAAAAATTCCTAAAAAAAATTAAAAAAAAAATAAAAATAGTTAATTTTCAACAATTTTCAGCCTCGTTATTGCGATTAGTACTGTTTAGATCTTCAGTTTTATTTTTCAAATTTATAGCATTTTTTTCGGGTGAACAGAGTTTAACATAATTTAAAATATTTTACGTTCTTGTAATAGAAACGTCAAAATTTATATATTTAAGAGAAACTCTATTTCTCACAGTTATGCAATTTCTAAGAAAATGCCATGTATTATAAACTCGTTATTTCGTGGTTTTCCTCGTTTTTTTTTGAGTTCAAAACTAGAAAAAAAATCTAATTATAACTACATTTTCAAGTGATTATTTTTCTAACAAAACCTTACTTCTAATGTTACCTATTTTAATCTGTTTGCCGATATTTAAGAAAATAATTGAAAAAAATCACCGTCATAACATTTGTAGTGCGTATATTTTTTCGTGTAATGATTATATGAATAATCAGATATAATATTTGATCGTTACGCGTCGAAGTAAAATGAATACGTGTAATTTTTTGCTTTGAAACGTATAATTTACATTACACATAATGTAATATAATTATCTATGAACTTATGAACAACTTCTTTACGTTCTTACGTCTCAATGGTACTTCTTAGGTCTTAATGTTATTTGTTAAGCTGAAATGTTCAGAAAGAATAAGTATGGATTGCATTTCTTTAATTATGCTCATTTGACGATTTTAAATTCAGCTATTCCTCAGAATATGCAAATGGAGGGGTCAGTGCGGCGCAATGAGTAACGGTTATTTGGCAAAATACGTTCATACGTATTATGAATTAAGATTTATTATTGTTATAATCATTTAGTAATCCCACGGAATCACCACTAGATGAGTAAGATGTGAAGTTCAATCATTTATATAATATTCCAGATATTATCATCGTCCATGTCTAGTTTAAATATAATAAATATAGACATAATGGATATTTGTCTCTAAAATACCCCTTTCATAAACCTAATTCTGCACTTCGGCATTGTTCATGGATATACCCGAGCTAATAATTGTTATTATGATGCATTGCGTCAGTACCAAAATACTAATCTCATTTGCAAATGAATCTAGAAGTTGCCACAACAGTCACTCACAAGTGTAATAAGACAGCTGAAACTAATAAAATATTGTGGTATTCGATAATATGAGGTCTGACAACAAAACGTGACAACGCCGATTTGCTCTTAATGGAAAATAACAGAGAAAAACAACATGAATTTTTAATTTTCAGGTGTTCTCAAAATTGGCCACTAGTTTTCTTTTAGATCATTTAAATCACATCTCATTTTTTTTTTTCATATGGTATTAAATATAATTGTTAATACGTTTATCCATATTCCGTAATCCACAAATCTCCTAACGTGCACAACAACAATAAATATTTCTTATGGGCGGGTCTTCCTTACATTGTTCGATATTTGAAAACTTTTTCAACTTGTGTACTTAAAACCAATTATATTGTAATGTATGTGTCTTCATATGTCATCCCGAAAACAAGCATCACATTTCTTGCGAAGATTTTTTTTGGTAAATATAATCCTCGCACATCATTTTGTGTTGCTGCATGAAAATTATATTATTAATCCTGGAAATATAAATTTGGTTGCTGGTGCCGATTCGCAGGAGCAAAAAAATGAATGCTCGCCGAATTATTCAGTAGCACTCCGCCATTGACGTGATTTTTTCCAGCAGGAAATTTATGCCAATGGAATTGCGAATTTGCAATTAATGACCCTCTGAATTTCACGCAGCTTTTTGATTCTTCTTTTGTTGTTTTTCTCGACTTATTGTTCAACGTCACATTGGTTTCTAGAACTAATGATTTGATTTCAGATATGACCGAAATTCAACCAGTCAGTGATATTCTTGCTGATGAGCAAATGCAAGCGCAATGCATCTTTTTCGATTGCTACATTCAAACATTCTCAATGGTACAGACAAAAAACATTGAAATTCTTTGAAACAACATTTCCTTTTTCAGAATTATGACGAAATTCATATTCCATTGTCCATTTCTATCTGTCTGTTTGGAGCCGCTTCAAATGTGTTTAACATTATCGTCTTGACCAGGTCAGACTCCATATATTTTGAAATATTGAGTTGAAAATTGCTGGATTCAGAAAGCGAATGAGAACGCCTATTAACATTCTGTTAACTGGATTATCATTTGCGCAATGGCTTTTGGCAACGAATTACTTTCTGTTTCTTCTGCTCGAATATTACAGAATGCAGTGGTATTTAAGAAAAAACACAAGGAAATGCGAATGGTTTTTTTCAGCATTAATGTTCTTTGGTCAGAAGCTTTAACTTGGTACAGATTCTTCAATGTGAACTTTAACACCGTGTTCCATACAAGTAAGAGAATAGAAAAAAACAATCCTATTATCAATAATTCAGTTGCTTTTTCTACGACAATCGTTGTTGCAATTTTCCGATACTGCGCTCTGAAATTCCCGATTCAAGCGAATCGATTCATTTATAAATCAAAGCCTGCAATTGTTGCAAACATTATTATTTGGCTTATTGTGCCAGTTATCAGCGCTCCTGTGTTTTTCATTTCTGAGGTAAAGGAAACTGAAAATTTACCATCAAATATAACTCATTGAAGGTACGAATTGTTGAGGACAGCCCAATCATTTATCATTTAAATTGTACCATGCCTGGACCATTGTACGATTTGAGCTACCAAGCGAACCCCCAACTATTTTCCGCAGTGTTTTGGGCGTTTGGAGTTGTTTTCAAAATCCTTCCTTCTTTGATATTGACAATCCTTCTCATTGCCCTCATCAGGTTGCTTAACCAAGCTGGAGAAACAATTGTGAATAAATATTTTAGATCTTTGAAATCTGTCGAACGCCGCAGAAAGAACTGGAAGAGAACCCAGGGGGCTCAAATTTGCACAAACTCGGAGAGAAAGGCCAAACGCAAACTCACAACACGTCCAAGAACTACGAGAATGCTTGTTATTATTCTGATGCTTTGTGTCTTGGTAAGACAATAAATAAAATAAAAATTTTAAGGTGGTGCTTCAGGTTGAACTCCCAAATGGATTCCTCAATTTATGCGTTGCAATTTATGGAGAAGATTTTGGCAACAGAGTTTATGATCCAATGGGTAATTTTATGGAAATGCTCACGCTTCTTTACAGGTTACTCGAAAATGTAAATACTTGATTAATTTTTGCATTTTTTTCAGTTCTGTTAGCTTTGTACTTTACTGTTTGATGTCGAATGACTTCTTGACAACATTCCGTGTACTTTTCTGTCCATGGTCGAATAAACATCAGCTTTCTAATATTCCAGGCGGTGAACATTCAAAAAAATCTAATTTTTGAATATTTAAGCATCAATTTTCAGGAAGCTGGAGAACCCGCCAGGAAGACACTCGCTCACCAAGAAGCTGCTTGATGAACGGAACTGCGCAAAGCTCTTTCGTCGGCACCTACACCTAATTAATTAATCATATTATACCCCCTGACAACACTGTGTATTATACCCCCCGCATATATATTTTTTAAAACTGAATAAATGTAAAAATGGAATACGGATAGATTGAAATTTGTATTTGGACAACTCGAAAGTTTTTGCACATCAGGCCGAAAGCAAAGCAAATAGTTTGACAGATCCGGCGTGAAAAAAACTTCGTTTGCGAAAGGATCGGTTGTGGTCACGGACTGTACAATTGGGTTCGGTGTCACTTTTTTACAATCGTTATTTTCGATGCGTCTATCCAGCTTGTTGGTCTTCTTATCGTCGTGCTATTTTTGTTATTCATCTATTGAAAATAAATATATCCAAGAAGCTACAAATACTGCTTCAAGTGAGCTCTCAGCATAATAATCAGCATCACAATTTTCGTAAATTTATATTCAGTTGGTAAACCTGGTCATGATTGTCTATTTGGAGGAATTTGCTCAGGCGGGGCGATCTGCATTGAACTTCAATGCTACTGTGTCGATGGCCAACGAGAAAGTAATGGTGTATGCGTCGATTTTTTGAAGAATGATGGTAAGAAGATTTTTATCAAATGAATTTGTTTCGTTCTAATGCTAAACCGAAGAACATTCAAATTTGTTCTCTTAATTCAATTGTTTTATGGTCCAAGGATTAAACAGTGACCTTATATCAACATCATATTAATGCAATTGATAGGGTTTCTTATGATGAATAAGTTTCGGATTGCTTCCCGAGAAGGAAATCTGATTAGTCAATGAAATACATTGTAGGTTGAAGTTTTAAGATAGTTGTATCAAAATTTATTCTAGCTAAAAACCGGAAAATGTTGGATGCACCTTGGTGTCAAAATAATATACGCATTATCTGAGTATCAAAAATATGCAAAATCGTAGTATATACGTATCAAAGGAAAATGCAAACATTTAGCACTTTCGGGTCATGTAAAATTAAATTTGACATAACTAATTTGAATTTCCAGCAGTTGCCTGTCTTCGACCACTCAATTTTTCTGTTTAATTTTTTTTTAATAATGTCAATGTTAATAATAATCAATATTATTGAATGACTTCAGAAATCATTCGGGAAACCTCTTCGCCAGTAACTATTGGACTTGCTGGACGTGCTTGTGGAATTGGCGGCGTATGCCGTCCATCTACAAAATGCATTGATGGTATCTGCAAATGTAGTCAAGGATATAATCCATCATTTGGTGAATGTGTAAGAGATCTTTCAGGTGAATTGTCTTTTTGTTTGGTTATAATATCGAAATTTCAGTTCCGCGATTCGTACCAAGGCCATTTGTCCCGTCCAGCCGTTCACTTCCACGTTTCCCATCTGTTTGATTACTTTCCTTGTTTTATATTAATAATCACTTCATATAAAACATGAGTTGATTTGTTTCTTTAACAAAACATCAGTAAAAAATAACATAAAAGCATGGAAATATCAAAACTTCCAATCACATAAAGATTTCTGCATTTAAAACCAAAATAGTATAGTCTGCTTTGAATATCAATTAGAATTTTATTAATGATGAGGTAATCAAACAAACTTCTTTACTTTTATTGAATGATATAAATTGGAAATAAGTAAGAATAAAATGACAAGCTAAAACCAAAAATACCAATTTTCTTGTTTTTTTTACAAAAGTTTCAATGAGCAAGTGGAATACCCTAACGTTTTGCCCACAGCATTCAGAATTATAGAGTGGACGGTTTGATCAATTTTAAATGCAACATCATCAACAAATCAATGGCACAGCTCTATGGCAAGACAATTTGAAACTTGAATTATTGTAATAAATCAGTTGAAATTTTGAGAAAATCTATTTGTAAAGTTCATCGATCACTTTTTGGAAAGCTTTCTCAATATTTTTTCTCTTGAGCTTGAGCGCCTCTGTCAAAAGACCGGAAGCAGGTGTCCAAGCTTCGTGGCAGAGGAAGATTTTTTGTGGGGTCTCGACTCGCGAAAGCTTTCCTGAAAATTATTGCAAATCTTTTTATATGAGTTTTTTTACAATAAAATTTACCAGAAACGTAAGTGGCAAGATCTTTCTGAACAGCGTCGACAACCTTCTTATCCTTGCAAATTTTTTCGAAATCCGTTGTATTAGCTCCCAACTATAAGGATACAGTTGACTGTCAATTCATTGCAAATTGTTACCTCTTCCGCTTTGTTGCGCAAATTCTTGTGATTTGGAACGATCAGAGCAATCAAGAAGCTTTTGTTGGAGTCGCCATATACACAAATATTATCGACGATCGGGTTGGTGAGCAAATTTGTTTCAACTTTTCCCAGGGAAATGTATTCACCATGCGACAATTTGAGCAAATCTTTCTTTCGGTCTAAAAAATAACAAAATTTAATAAAAAAAAAACAAGTTGGAAAATACCAATTATTTTAAGGGATCCGTCTTCTCTGAATTCTCCAATATCTCCTGTGGCAAAAAAGCGTTTTCCGTTAATTTCGACAAAATCTTCTTTTGTTTTCTGTTCATTCTTATAGTATCCAATTGCAACATTTGGTCCGCTGATTAGAATTTCTCCTTGTGGTGGATTGTTTAATGGTGAATATCCAGCTTCAGCCCATTCGCGTAACAAAATCTCGCAGCAGATAAGCGGCGGCCCGACGGTTCCAGTAGAAAGGTCATGGACTGAACAATTAGGAAAAAATAAATACATTCTTCTTCAATGCATACCATCAGCAATAGTTCCTCCTCCGCAAGTTTCTGTCAAACCATATCCTTGAATAACTGGACAGCAGAAGCAAATGTTCATGAATCGTTGAGTTTCGGCACTAAGTGGGGCTCCTCCAGACAAAATTTGACGAACTTTACCACCAAGAAGTTTTCCAATGCGATTGAAGACAAGTCTTAATTGTTTTTAAGGTCATTTATAATGATACAAGTGATATATACTTATTGAGAATGACGCTAGAATATCCTTCCTCATATCTTGATCTTTTCCGTTCGTAGCATGTCTTGAAGAGTTCACGAAACAGTCTGCTGTTTGAATTAACCTCATCAATCACTGCTTTGAAGATTCTGTCCATAACAGCCTCAAAATTTAGTACTATTCCACGGATCCACAAAAGAAACCTACGGGAACACATGCCATCAATGTTGGTTGTAAGACCCAGCAATCTCCGTGTTCGCCCTTCATTATCTTCGGTGCTCTGTCGAACAATGTGTGAGCCGAAGAGTATCCAATACGAACTCCACTGGTGAAACAAATAAGTTCAGCACAAATCTCGAGAATGTGTGCAAGAGGAAGATAGCCAATGAAGCGATCTTCTGGTCTGAATTCATTGAACTTATTACAATGAAATTTTGAAGTGATATTACGTCAAATTCAATCCGGCAGATTGTCCAACAGTAGCAGCAACAATATTTCCATGTGTTATCATTACTCCTTTAGGATTTCCGGTAGTTCCTGATGTGTACATGATGAAAGCCAAATCATCTTTAGAACTTCTAATTGAAACTGGTTTCGCTGAAATTCGTTGAATTTTGAACGCCGGAACAGAAGTTCCTTCCTCGATTCCTCAACAACGCACACTTCTCTACATTACGTGAAATTGCAAATAAAACGAAACCAATAATTGGATGAAAATCAATCGTGCAATTAGGGGAAACAAACATTAGGCAAACCACATACAATACTCACGTGAACCCTTTGTGAGAAGCTGTTCAAACGAAAGTAGTGTGAACGGGCTATCGCACTCAATCGATTCTCCTCTTGACGCTGGATCAACACTGTCAAAATAGATGATATTTTCGATATCTGCACCATTGCTCATTGCTTTTTTAACCTAATCACGAATTATTAGTGATTGTTGTCAAAGTCAATTAATACTTTGGAAATCAGGGCTTCTGTTGTGAAAATAGTTTTTGCTCCAACTTCCTTTATAGCAAATTCAACTGCTTCATCGCCAAGAGTAGCATAAATAGTTGTAACTAAAAGAAATCTTATGATTATAATTCATTAAATCCAAAATTACTTGGGAAATTCATTTTGAAGCATGCGATAGCTGTAGTCATCCATTCTTCACGAGTTTCAGCAAACAAAATAACTGGTTCACCTTCCTGTAAATATATATATTTTTTCAAATTTGGTAATTTTTTCTTAAATTCAGATATAATGTTTAAACAGAAATTTGTGTCGTTTTGAAGAATTTTTTAAAAATCGAAAAAAAAAACAACAAAAGTAAAATATTTCTTGGTGAACAATCGTTTCGCGAAATTTGAGTTAATTTGTTTAAATATTTTTCTATTTATTTCAAAACGAAGTCCCAATTTTTCATAAAATATAATGCTACCTATTCGTGAATATATTTTACCTTCTGTCCAAGACTATCTAAACCCGTTGCAATCATATTCGCTCTCTTATCAACTTGAGCAAAATTTCGCCAGTGATAATCACCCATTTGCCACTGTAATAATAATAATGATAAATTGACAAATTGAGTCAAATCAAGTTCACTTTTTCGAAAATTTTTCCGTTTGGCTGCTTCTCCTTGTGAACTTTAAGAACTTCTCTAGTACCCATACATTTCAACTCTCCATAACGTCTAAAAACAATTTTTTTAATTTTCAGAGAATTGATGATGAGCAAACTTGACACATTCTTCCCATTGGGTGCCAAGATTGTCACACCCTTCAAATGTTGAATAACGCAATGCGCCATCAACTTTCACGTTGCGGAATGGCTTCGATGGATCTCCGTCTTCTGGTCTGGCTTTGACTCGCTTCGATTTTTCAAGTTTCTCCGCCGGGTTGGCAAAAATTTTGAATGGAATGAATGTTACAAAATCGAACAACAAAAATATAAACTGAAATTTGCAATCGTAAATAATAAAAGCTATCATTTCATTGAATCAAACCTTTAAAATATATATGGCAATGGTGATTTGAATCGGACGATCACTTCCGTTCAACGCCTTTTTTACGTCTGATTCTTCTACCATCTGTAATAAATAAAAATTGAAAACGGTAATTACGAAATTAAAGAAATTATATTTAAAAAAAAAACGATACTAGAAAATTCACTCTTTGAGCTTTTTTTATTATCACGTGGTTTTGCAAGAGATACTGTAATAAAATAGCTCAGGTCTGATGTTTATTTTCGTGAAATAACAGCTAACAGAGTGAGAAAGGAACAGAGAACCAAAAGACGGATGATGTTTAGAGATCACGCCACAAATGACGCACCTCAACTCCTTTGTCGATACACAATATCTCTTGTTGTAATATTTTTGATTTGTCAAAACCAACTCGGCCACTGCTGCTTAGTAGGCAACTTCAAAAGAGATCAATGAGTAATGTTAACGGTCGCCGCAAATTAAAGAAATAGTTAAACAAACGAGTTCCCATTTCATGGGTTGATGGACAGACACAATGTGACTGACTTTCATTTCTATACAAATCAACGCTAATTTGATATCAACGAACTTGAACAAATTGAAATTTTTGAACTCATGATTTTTCTTCAATTTGGTAAAAATGTTTAATTGTAATGTGCTATGTAAAAATGAAAAACAACTGAATTACTACTAAATAAATATCGCACACCGTATCATTAGCAAATTGATGAAATAAAAAGATAAGAACTTTGTTATTGGATAAATTGAAAAAAAAAAACAAGTCATCACCAGAATGTGTTGATAATAACTTGAAAGAATGTCAATTCGACAGATGTTGTTATTCCAAAGCATTCTCTGTCACTATTTCAAGAAAATCGGTGTTTGGGTACAAAGTACAACAAGTGTGATGGGCGTGGAAATAGCAAAATATGATCAATTTCTAGATATAATACAGAAGTGATGGAGAGTGAGGGATAAAGTTGGGGGAGGCTAGAGTGAGGTTACGCTAAGGATGGACCCGCCTGCTGAGTGATCAGCTGATTAATTTGAATACATTGTAGCGAGAGTTGCACAGCTCGGATCACGATATCAGAGACATCAATTATTGTATGGTGACACATTTACATATGTATGAATAACGGAACAATATCGATAAAATGTCTTTTTGTATTACTGTGAATCATAAAAACTAATAAAAGTGTTATTTTGAAAATTAAAATTATGATGATAATTATTGTTCTAATAAACAAAATTTTAACAAAAAGTTTTGGTTTTTTTTTTTCGTAAAGGGTGTTAATGTACAACAAATAGTTTTTGCAAAAATGCAAAACCAAAAAATATAAGATGCCTGTATTGGGAATTGGGTAAATGTGCGCATGTTGTTGACCTCTGATGGGGGAACAATCAAAAACTGATAGAAATAAAAACGAAAATAAAAAAAAAACCACAATTAGTCCTCCGATTATTTGTCGACCCGTTAAATTGAATATCTATAAAAGGAAATAAACAACTCAGAAGGGCAACGTGGATCGTACAAACATATCAATCATCGATTACGATATTATCTACTACTCTGCCAGACGTCACATGATATAGGAGATGGAAGACAACTCATATAGACATTTGGTGTTCACATTGTGGCAAAGTTAAAATTCCGCTTTCCGGTTTCCCCTCGTTATCACATTCTCCTTGATCGTTTGTTTAAAGCAAAGCCCAAGATCACAAACAACAACAACAACGACTGCTTAATATACGAAAGGAAAATAATTAGATGCGATTTTTGGATACTTAAAACATTGTTATCGTATCTCACTGATTGCGAACTTTTGTTTTTGCATCTTCACTTGTGTTGTGTTATTTGCGAGCGTTTTCTTCAACGACAATTGTATATACGACTCTCATCAAGATACGCTGGTTGTAATATGGATGGAAAGGTGTGTGTCTGTGGCGGGTTGAGGAAAATGAGATGGACGCTAGTCGCTTATGAGCTGATAGAAATACAGCTTCTAAACGATATTGACCAGCAATAAACATATTGCACTGTGAAATCTGATATTTGTAGAGTTTCGGAATTTTTACACTTACCACGCTTAAAATAAAGTGCAAAAATTGGTTCATGTGATTAAATCAGCTAAATGCGGAGGTTGTGATATTTCATTACGTCAACAACAAGGTGTACTTAAAATTTTTAACAGTAAACAGTGTTATTAATCAATCCTAGAGAATAACAAAGTCATGAGTTGTTTAAAATATTTATGTTACACCTGACGGTGAAAGTGATAATCTTTTACTATAGTATCCATTTTTCAGAGCAAAAAAACTTTTCGAAATACACATGGGTTCAATATTTATATTTTTCGGCATATGAAGTCGACACTGGAAAGCCTTCGAACAACAGTTTTTGTTTTACTATTTCTTTTTCCGAATATACTATGTCTATAGCTCACTTTAAAAACTCAAATAGGAACATTTTTCATTTCACATACACATATCATTTTGTAAAATATAATTAAATTTATTAATCATATAAATATTGCACAAATTCTTAAATCACAAGCATAACCCGTCTAAAATAAATGGAATTCGAAAATGGATATTCTATTTCCCAAAGTAAAGGCAATTATTGACAAATCACAACTTATGTAACTAACACGTGGAATAATGTGGCATTTCAAGTATTTAGGCGAGGCTCTCCAAAAATGCCGTGGATGACATTCTATTTTCTTTTAATAATCTATAGGAATAGGAATTTCGTGACAATCCTCGACGTGTGTCGCTAAAACATAACACTTGTTGCTCTTTAGCACAAATCAACACGAATAACAAGAAAAGGGCCATTATAAAAATGAGTGGGGCCCAAAGGGAGTCCGACACTGAGCTCGTTCTGAAATACTCAATAAATTTACATTGTAGGACGTGCTTACTTCTTGACAACCAAATTTCTCAAACTATCCCGAAGAGGAAAGAATCTCATATGGTAAATCATTGCTCCAAGAGCCCACTGCACTTCTTGTCCGGCAATTGTAGACACGCTCTATTGAAATTATTAATTTTTGAAATTCAATTTTTAGTGGTTACTTGAAATTTGTTGTTTGATTTGTCTACAGAGAATCCTTCATGCAAAACTGTTGAAACCCAAGCGGATTTGAAGCATTGAGTTCGGAGACGATCATCGTCGGCTCTTGGATAAAGCATTTTTTTAGCAGCTGCCTGAACGCACCAATTAGTAAAAACAGTCAGTCTTCTAATATTGGCAATCGAAAAGGAATTATTCAAAATATTACACACCTGGATAGTTGACCATCTCTGTTTGCAGAACTGTTTACTTTTATGAGCTACAACACTATGGTTATAAGAACCGCCAAGACCGAGGACGTCATGAGTGGAATACCAATATTCCGAAAATCCGTAAAGTTCCATATCGGATAGCTTGACATTTGGAGCAAGCACTGAGCCCAAAAAACATTTAGTCTTTTCTGAGATACTACACATTCCAGATTTCTCCTTTGGTTTCAGCAAACGTGAAATAATATTCGAACATGATTCCCAGTTACCAGTTCCCTGAAAAGTTTGTAATATGTATTTATGGATTGTTGGAAAAAAATATATTTTGGCTATGCGCTAAAAGTTTCAAAACAAAAGCGTTTGTGCGTGTAACATATTCACGCAACCCTTAAATTTAGACATTTGAAAATCAACATTGATTTTTTGCGAGTGCCATGAAAACTTCAGTCGTTTTGACACTGGCCAAAATTATATAAACTATATTTACCCTTCGAATCAAAGTATTTCCGCTTTCAAACTTCACAGTTTTATGCAAATTGAGAGGAAGACAATCATCTTGAATTACAGTTCCATTTTGTTCATTCAGTTTCTCCTCAAGAGTTTTCTCATATTTCTTGATTCCTAAAAATCAAAAAGCGTTGCAAAAATTTACTTGAAACGAAACCTTCGTTGACACCAAATCCAAGGAAAGTAGTGACGAATAATTTATACTTGAATGTTGGATCATCTTCTCTACATCCCAAGTTTATCTGAATTTTTTAATTAAACGTCACACAAAAAAAATAATTGATATTGAGAATGTTGAATTCCATCCATTCATAAATTAATTATCTCACATTTTCAACATTTGTTGTCAAAAAATCATCATTTCTTGGTAATTCAAATGCAATTTGCATGCTTGCTCCACCCATATCTATCATGCCAACCGTTTTTTGCCTCGTCGCAGCCGATTGGGTACCCGGAAAATCGACTCCGTTGAGTACTTTTCTCTCAAATTTTCCTAAGACTCATTTAAAGATCGTCAAATATTCATTTCGAATTACCTAGTGCGTAATTTACCGCAATCCAACTATAAATCCCTTCCCATTTTCCTTCAATTATACGAATATGTTCCTTCATAACCTGCATTCTTGTTATTGATGGAAGTTTGTTTTGCAAGTTTGTTAAAACAGCTTTCTTTTGCCTAAAACGAGAGGTTCATAAAAATTTTGAAAAAATAGGTAACTCTTCTGGAAGAAGTCGCATTCCAGCTGTAGCAAAAATGAAAACCGGTGTAAAAGGAATTTTATCCTCAGGAATATGTTTCTCTGCAAGTTCCATGAGAGGTCGAATATATTCTGAAAAAAAAATACACCTTGAACAACAATTGTAGGACAAGCAGATGAGGAGGGAACTCGTAAATTTGCGATAATGAAAACTGATTAATAATCAACGTTCCAAACACGATAAGCTGCAGTTATCAGTCTGAACTGCTCAACTAACTTAACCGAATGTCGTCGGGGTCAGCTAGTCAGAAAGAGCAAAAGAAGTGCACATACAACACTTTAATTGTGCAACAATATTTCTGGTTTTATTTTTAAAGAGAGATGGTCTAAACCATAGGGGCACGTGTTATGGACACGATTGTAACTTTAAAAATATCACGTTTTCTTTTTGATTTCAACATTATAAATGCCAACCAGTTGCTTCTTCTGGTTTTGTCCCAAATGTACTCAATCCAGGTGAAATTTTCTTCATAACTGGCTTGTTTTCATATGTTACCGGCTCAATTCGAATCAATTCAGTATCTAAAATAATATTTTCTCAAAAACTGTCTGGAAATGTTTCGAACCTGATATGCTAATCCAACTATAAACAAATAACCGCGTACCAGTTGACCCCGCATCACAAATCACACCAAAGGAACGCTCATGCTCTATAAACAAGTCTTGTGATTTGCTGTAATGCATATAAATCACTAACCTTCAAATAATTTGTTCGGAGCTGTACGGTCAGCGCTTACTTCAAAAAAGATAAACAAAAGAGATACGGTTATTAGCGCTGACACAGCACAAAAAACTAATCGCATTATTTTCCGCATGTGTGTCAATACCCTCACCTCATTCGATACTGAAATTAAATTTGAACAAAAAAAAACATTTTTTTCTATCATGATATTTTGTGCGGGTGAAACCACAAAATTCGAAAGAAATATGGAAATGATATATGGTACAAACAATTCATTTCGATTTGGCTATAACCCGACTCTCTTTGGCACAATTATGTCTTCTTACGATAGAATGAAAATAAATAGCAATAATAAATTAAACGTATAATTATTTAAGTCCATGTCTAAGAATAAGTTTTCTTGCAAGCAATTCGAAGTGTCGCGCTGCGTCTTCAGTAACGCTATTTGCCAATGGGCTAATATAGCGCCCTTCTGCACGCAGAAATCTGGCAAATGCGTAAGCGTAGCTTGGATTTTGAACGACTAACGCCAAAGTTGACAAATTATCGATTAGCTGAACATAAATATTTATAAAGTAAAATTGTAAAAGTACCGTTCGGTATAATGGCATCCGCTCAGGAAGTTTACGCAGAGATCGTTGCAACTTGTAGAACATTAAGCTTAATGAGTGCTCATCGTTCCAGTAAATATCTATAACATTTTTTATTGAAATTTAATAACTGAAACGGTAAACCATTTGTTGTGTATGTCGCTGGATTCATTTGCCATTCTCTTCTCATTGTTGCGGAAATCTTTCCTGTGGCGATGTCATTTATTCTCTTATATGGAACATTAAACTAAATAATAGAATAATCTGTTAGCGAAAATTGACTGAAACCTACCACAATTAGCTGAAAATATTTGTCGGTACCTCTCGGATTCATTTCAGGTAGGTATTCGACAATGTTCTCTTCCTCCTCCATATCAATAAACTCAATCACGTCTCCCTCTTCTTCGGGAATTTCAATATGAAGCTCGGGTTTTTGGTTTTCATCAATTTGTTTAGTCTCAGCCTCAAGCTTTGCACCTTCCTGTTGCTTATCCTCGCTTCCACCTTCATTGTCTCCTTCTTCCATTACTTCATCCTCCGTTTCATCTGGCTCAGGTCTCTCATCGTCGTTGTTTTTATACTCGCTGACATTTTCTTTGTTAGCTTCTTTGTCTTCATAATCAGTGTTTCCATCATCAGATTTGTCATCTGTTTTGACTTCATCTTCTTCCTGAATATTCCAACCGTTGAGATCGACAGCTCGGACAGCAGCTAAAAGCTTTTCGCCTTTATTGGTAATACAGTAGCCAAGTACTCCATAACGGTCCTTAAAAAAAATTAACAAAATAAGTATCAAACGTATATTCTCACATTATCTTCATTTTCCACGGTCAACATATCGATGAAGTAATCGTAATTGAATATTTGGTAGTCTGAGATAGAAGCAAATTTAGCAAAAAATTTTTTAGCAGTAGGACCATGGCCGAATCATTTTACATTTTATGACTCCGAATTGCAATGAAAATTGCACGGAGTTTGTTTAAAACTGTACCATAAAACCAAAAGTTCATATTATTTACTCTTTCGAATGCCCAAAATATTGAGATTTCATTTAAAAGTTAGCTCTTTTTTATATTTGAGCAATATACGTGAAAGAATTACCTTCTTCTCGTGATTCCATCTCCTTTCGAGTATCAGTAAAGCCCCAATTGAATTCCGGATACTTTTCGATAATTGATACAGTAATTCGATTTCTTTCTTCAGCTGGCATGAACCATTGCATACATTTGACTTCCAAATTATCAACATCTGGGAGTGTAAAAAATTTGTCGCAGACGATTTCCTTCACAACGATTTCTTCACCCATCTCATGAATCAACTAAATCGATTGATGAGTTAAATCGAATGAATGATTTTGTTTACATTTCCAGCAACGCACATAAACGACTTCAGAAGCACGTAATTAGTGGCCATTAATCTTACATGGACGTGATGTGCGATAGTTGTAATGGCTTCCTCGGTCAAAAAAATAAAGTTATCAGGAATTTTTGATTGCTGAAAAAAAAATACTTTTAAAAATTTTAATTCTCATCTTACGTAAGTCGTTTTCAGTCGAACGCGTAGCTCGGGAGCAAACAATATGTAAATGAGCTTGAGATCCTTATAAGCGTACTTGTATTCATCAAGGTTGCTGATCGCAGTGATTAAAAATACTTGCTGGTAGTCTTTGCAGTTCATAAACTCGAACAAAGTTGGTAAATCCATGACACTGGAGTGATCCCGTCTATAAAAATCGTATTATTCGATTCGACTGGATTTTCAATTGGCTTCAGATTTGAAAAAGGCTTACTTCTCGAACTCCTCAACTGCCTGTTTGAAATTACGAGTTTTATCTGTATATTCCTTTTCAGAAGTGAACTGAAAATATTATAATTACTAAAATATTAGATAAATAAATTAAAATATTAATTTTCTCAATAAATTAATACCAAATGAAGCCGATCATAATAATCTGGTTCCTCTGCAGCATTCTTTTCGAAATCTTTCAAGAACTGAATGAACTGTTCGATATATGACATTGAACAACCGCGGGATGTAAGAAGGCATTCAAAGCCGATGTCTATAACGAACGCTATTTCGCGGCTCATCCTGAATTAAATTATTAATATTAAATTTACGCAATACAGAACAATATAAACACAAAATCTAGCGAAAACATAATATATTTCACGCAATACTAATTTTTTGTGGGATTTGCGACGAGAGAGTGTGCGAAACCCGACGCGCAGAGATTTGCCAACAAAGAGAAAACGGAGAATCGTTGCAAGACACTTTCGAACAGCCCGCAGTTTAGCGGCGGAATGTCGTAGTGAACCGAAACGTATCGTTTTTAAACTAAACTTATTATAATTTTTGGGTGAAACAAAATAAAATGACTAGCTAAGCTTATTAAAGGAAAGGGCTCAGATATCACATGAGATGAATTCAAGCTTACAGTTTTGATAACTCAACTGATATCGTGAGAAAATTATGCGGGTTTTCATTTATATTGCTAAAAATTAAATTTTCGAGAAAATGGCATAACAAAAAAATGTTGCCAACGGAGTTATAAGTGGAAGAGGAGGTACAAACACACACACACTTCAGTACTAATACACGCTTCTCTAAAAATATATAGAGTATGGTTAAAAAAATAGAATAAAAACAATTTCGCTACTCATTACTTTGTTATATATGGGAAAATCTTATATATGTTTTTAAAGTGATCGTTTGGTCACGACATAATAGCCAGTAGCCACAATGGGGAACTAAATATTAAAAAAAAGATAAAGAAGCGAATGCCAAACCTCGCAACAAAGTAACGCACATACATGTGACCTGCGAATTTGTTGTAGTGGTCCGCGTTTCTCTCTGTTTATACATAAACACAAATATGGACGAAAATTTTAAATGATCAAACGCGTTTACCATTTTTTTGATCTCTGCACTGAACATATTTTCGCATGAGCATTTGATAACATGGTTTGTATCACCATTGCAAAAATAAGAGAACCTTGACTAATTATGGACCATCGTATTTTTCGAGGTGGTAATTAAAATATAAATTCAAACCTTGAGAATTCGGAAAATACGAATAATCCAATTCACCAAAAATCGATACAAAGTTCTCGTTTTTTGGCAATTGTAACATTGTATTTCAAACAAATTGAAAATGATTTTAATATGTCCTAAAAAATCGACGTATAAGGTTGTGAGAAGTACAAACCGAAAGGTGGGTTGGAATGACATTTGTTGTGTGCATCGGTACTATTATGTGTTAGAATGAAAAAATCTTTTTAATTTTTGCTCAAATAAAAAACTATTCAAATCAAGAAGACTTCTTCATACTAACACATAAAAGTACAAATTGGTAAATACAATTCTGTATGCATTTTGAAAATTCGATGATGATATGTCTTAAGTTAATCAGCTTTTGAGAAAATAATATATTGGCAATATGGTAGTTATGTAACGGTTAGTAAGATAATGAACCTAAAACATATATCATATTATTATTTTTCACTTATGGATAAATAACAAAATGTGCACAAATATATGTAATTTTTAATTCTTATTAATATTATAATATACTTAACATTTGATTTTGCTAATAAATTTTTCCTCGACTGGATCGGATTCGACACGGAATCTCACCAACTATTATCAAAATGTCTGAAATTGTTTGCACATTCTAAAATTACAAAATGAACCGTTTCTCTATAACTTTGGTGTAATGGATTTAATTGAATTATAAACTGCGAAAATAATTGTTTTTTTATACTTACTTGTTAAAGTTGGATAACATAGCTTAATGAAATGGTGGCTTCATCGTTGTTCAAAAATTATATAAAACAATTACTGTAATACATTTTTAACCCCTTTCCAGTTATTTAAAATATGTTGTCTTGTCAAAAATTCTCAAAAATTGAGAAAAATCCCTCATTTATTTCATATCTCAAATCAATCTGTTAAGTTTATTTTGAAAGCCAGCTGGCAAATTTTGATTTATTGATTCATCAAGTTAAACATATGTTCGAATGTGGCGCTTATCTTCTGAACTATTTTCGATTTGAGGATTGGGTTTCGATCACGTCAGCGTCTACTATCCAAGTTTTTCAGATAATAAGCTTGACATTTTATGAATATCTGGATTCAGCTGTTATCGGGCTATTAATGGAGAATAAAAGGTAATCCAATTGCACAAAAATTGTTGTTAAATCGTATTTACTTTTTTCAAAAACATTATATAGCCCTATCAACTGGTTAATTTACAAGTATTTACATCTAAATATACCACAGTACATTCTACGTATCAATTAAAAACTATTTAATTTACCTCTGTAGCCAAAACTCGTAAGCTATATATATATAATATTATATTCGTCTATCTATTGAAAATTGTTTTCGGTGAAGTTTTTGAATATTACTTCCGACATGATTTTCGTATAATCATATGTATATATATTGTCGATGCGTTCGTATAGCGAAAAATTTCACCTTATTTATTTGGTAGCCGATTTTATTTCATTCTCATAAAATGCGCCTAGAGTTCGAAATCGCTAAACTCCAATCTTATAATAGCATTCGGTCGCTTTGTTTTGTCAGTGATTTCGGTGAATAAAAAAGCAACGACGTCGTCGGGAATTTCTTTTTTCTCGCCTAAATGTGAGCGTCTCAAAAATGAAAAAAAAAAACCTTTTTCATCGGTTCTCGCCGTCGATTTTTGACGAGCCGCATTGTGATTGCATTAATTATTGGCCATATCTTCCCCCGCTCCGAATCCCGACATTCATTCGTGCCAAGCGGGCAATTTTTTCCTTCTCCATCACATCTTATATGACATCCTTTTTCTTGCCTAATTTTGTTTTATATTTTTTCGTTAGATTTTCTAATTACTCACACTCATATCTCATCATTTTTTTTTCGGTTTTTTTTTCTGCACGGCTGAATATTATCTCATTGCGGAAGCATTAATCACACTTCTACTTGATGTGAGAAATGCCAACTAACCCAATCTTTGTCGCTTCGAAAGTTGAAGCTTGGGAGTCTCATTTTTTCAATCAAAATGAATATTTGCTTTCAAACGTGTTGTTTGATTCATCCACATGTGGGTTAAAAGAGTAACATTCTATTTTTTGAACAAAAGTACAACCTGAGCAAAATTAGACGCTTCTTCTTCTTTTTTTTTTCAATTCTCGTCGTTCTGTTGGTATGAATTACTTTTGACGTAACCATGTTTGTGTTTTTCACATTGCAAAATATTCACTCATACATGTACTACAAATTTTTTCGATGTATACATGTTTTACTACAAATGACGTTTTATATGCTCGTAATTTAAGCCTGTAAGTATATATAGCAAGTATCCATTCCTTTTAAATTTCGATATTTGGAAATCCTGCAGAATAAATTGAACTAATTTTCTATAACGTTTCCCGCCGCTTTCCATTTTAGTGAAGGAATTCTCTTCGTTTTATTCATTCGATTGTATACCTTTTTAGTGATCTCGCCAAAGGTCCTTCTGGAGAATATTTACATATGAATATCGATGCCTCGTTAGTTAGAGAGAGAGTAAACAATTTTCAGTTCAAATGTCTAAAATGCAGTATTTTTTCTTGTGAGGATGGATTTATATCCGAATGTAGTATACTTGAGTATTCGTTTTTCGAAATCTTAGTTTTAGGTTTCATTTTTGGAAATATGAGAAAATATGTAAATTAGTCAATGTGGATATTATTTACTTCTTATAATTTCTTAAGTTTTTACACTCGACACATTTTGTGTTGTTTTTCGTCTTATCGAATATCTAATTCAGGAATGAAGCTTCTCATAAATTTTTTGCGATTTCTTCCAATTCAAATAGTCCTATGGTCGTCCAAACACAATTTATATGAGCATTGTTTTCGCATTGCACAAATCGCAAATAAAAAAATCAAAGGACGTAGAATCGAAATTGGCTTTATGATGTTATTTTTTGAGCGTGCGGTTCCCAATTAATGGGCGGTTCCGTATTTATTTAAACCTTTGCCTTCCACACAACCCATTGTTCATTCATTTTTTTCTCACATCCTTCCGGTTTTGTTGTTTTCATTTGAAATGTTTGATAATTATATAAAATAAAATCTGAAAAACAACTTATTTTTATTAGAATCATGCGAAATAAAATCTCACTTCAAGTGAAAATTATGAATTATAAATAGGTAACGCTGCGTGCAAATGTTCCAATTACGTTGAATAGATCTCTTATACATGACTGTATACTTTCACAATAAAAGTATTCATATTACGAGAATGGACCTACAATTTTTCAATAGCAAAAAATAGCAAAAATTAAAATATAGTTAATTAAACTCGCAATAGCAAAAGAAGACGAGACGAAAAGAAATTTCGATTTATTTATCTTACGGCACAATAATTTTGTTGCATTTTTATGAACTTTTGCATCATTGCTTATGTTTTCGTTTAGGTTATTTAAATTTACTTATTACTGTCAAATAGTTTTTTTTTCACAACAAATATTTCTTCGATCCTTCCGCTTTATTACATACCCAATCGTTATGATCTTTTTAATTTCAGTGATTAACAAAAAAGGTTGAAGAGAATAATGAAGTCGAAACGATCATTAATCCGCGCTATTTTGTTTGTCTTACGACTTCAAAAGAATGTGAACATGCGACGAAATCAATCAAGAAGAAACACGATATTTGCTTCACGGCACATTGTCAGGTAATTCAAATTAAAAAAAAAATGTGTGCTGGGGTGAAGTTTAAAAAATGTTTAATGATTCTTATCATTTATCTCTTCTATTTAGAAGAAATCAATCTAAGGTCTCATTTAGTTACTTCCATTGCAATAAATCAAAACGTTATTGCTCGCTTTTTTTTACTGCCGAATGGAGAAATTTCTACAATCCCTTAATATGTGTTTCTTATACAAACCGTTCCATTAAAACATTTTGCATGACTAAGTGAATGAAAAATTTGGATAAAAAGAATTAACAAAAGAACCGTTCTTTTTGTTCATTTCTCTTTCCTCCATTATTGGACTCCATTATGTTTTGTGTTTCAATAGAAGGAACACTACTGTATGTTTCCTGATGTCTTTGCTGTGAAACGGGACACATTATCGTTTTTTTTTTTGTTTGAGAGAACTGACTTAAAACTGGAGTACTTCTAATTGAAAACGATTTCAAAGATTAATTTAATTCCCATAAATCTTTGAAACTCTTAAATTGTGCCTGTGTCTATCGAATTCTTGATTATTCAGTTATATTTCTCAGAAGAACTGTTCTTTCCTGGTACAGTGTGAAAATTGCGGTCGACAGAAAGAATGACGCCCACCTCCCTCTATATTGCGAGCGAATTTTGTCCCTCGCTCTCAATCTTAATAAACTCTATTATCTCACATAGTTTATTTCAATAATACGAGCTAATCGGGCGCAGTCTAGATCCACTGTTTATTGTATGGATGACAAGAGAGGACTGGTGAGAAACAGAAGCACTTGGAAAACATAAACGATTCCCCACAATTTTTTGCCAACATTCTACAGATGCGAATCGACAAAACATCGAAGAAGATCGTCGCACAAGTGTACCCAACGTCACAGAAATAGCGCTCCAAGTAGCTCATATCCGCTAAGGCAATTTCTATTTTTATTAATTGTTGCAATTTGTTTTTTTTTTCAGAACACCAAGTATCAAACGTAATTCTGGTCTTGAAACTGCCAATTTGCCGGATAATCCCTGCGATTTTGGTTTGTGGTTTTTCGATTAAAATATTTATTATTATTATTTATTTATATTATTTGTACTTTTCCTTGAGACGAAAGCGAATTTGAAATATGGTAATTGCTCATATGCAGCAAAAACATTCAGGTGGTTTACCTATAATATATATGTATACATATATTTTTTTAATGTGTTTTACCTTTTTTTTACAATCAATTTGAAAACATAATTAAAACTAACATATTGGTTGACATGTTTTGAGGCAAATTGTATTATCTGATCTTCACATGTCATTCGTTTGCATGTTCATTCAATCGATCTTAATTCAAATCTATATTTCGTAAGTTCTTGAATTTTCTAGAAGATTTTTATGGAAGTATTCAGTTTTGCAAAAAAAATTATTGAGCTTTGCCCCATGTAATCACGTAAAATTTTGTCAAATCTGACGCTAAATTGACTATATTTCAAAAATTACGTTGAATAGGGCCATTAACGAAAATTTGTTAATGCGAATTGTGTTTTCAGCACGTCGATTATTCGTTGAGAGTCAAATAATTTTTTAAAAAATGTATAGATATTTTTCGAGCATCATGAAGATGACATGTGAGATTTGTAAATACTAGATTAACTTTTTTATCTACTAAAGTACTTATCTATTACTGGCTTAAAATTTGCAAGTTGTCTTAATACTACTTTTTTTGAAACGTTTCATTCTGTGAAAAATCTTTTTTTTTTTTCTACGCAAAATATATAATTGCGATGCTCACAATCTTAGAGAGAATGGAATTTCCAAAACCTTTGGAGTTCGCTTCATTCAATGATATTTATTATCTGCGGAAATTAAAAAGATGATAATTTTAAAATTGAATTTGAACTGGATATCTAGTTAATAAAACCAACCATGTTTTCCTAGAAAAACATATTTCTGAACAAATGGATGACGAAGAATTCGTTTATCAGCATCGTCAATGATTTTTGGTCAAATGTGTGTGTGCTATTTCCTGTGTGGTGATAAATCTACCAGCAATAGCTCAAGGGAATCTATAGTTCAAAATTTTATTGCGTGGGATGTGCTTATTTTTAATTTTTTGTCGAATGATTTATAAGCGAATGTATGAAATACATTTTTCAGGCGCCTTCTCAGCAATGTCGCAACTGTATCTTCTTGGTCTTGATGATTCTCGAGGAAAACCCCTTATTAGCGTTTGTGCGGGAGCAGCACACACTCTTGCTTCCACAGCGTTGCTCTGCCGCCAGCAGTCATTAGATGAGCCTGCCACAAGGTGGGTTGAGTCTCTTCGAAGGGATCTCTTCGAAATTTATAGCCGTCCTTTCGATTGTCCTAATTAGAAACTATAAATTTTCTTGAAGAAAAAGATCAACGATTAGAGCAATCGCATTCAAAAAATGTATATTGAATGAGAAGGTTTTACAGAGCGCTGGAAAAAGTTGCATCTGGGCCGCTTCTAAGAGGTTAGTCGTTATATTCATCAGCGTATCGCAACATCCCTCGATTATACTTTTCTCGCCGTCCATAATTTCGTGGCGAATCTATCGCTGACCTGATTTTGAAAGTGGCAGTACCGCTTTTCGATTAAAATTTATGTGTTCTTTTCTCGTTTGAGAATCATAATTAATTGAAAATTTTATAGAAAGTGATATCTCAAACTGAATTCCAAATTGAATCTTCTCAGTTTTTGTCCTGCCAAAATTATCATTTTCAATTTTTTCAGGCATTTCGCTACAACGACAAAACAGTACAGATCCGTCAGAAAAACGAAGAAATGAAGAAAGCAGTAGCAACATAAAGTTGCAGAAGAAAGCAATAAAGACGAATATGATTAGTATGTTCGGTATGAAAATTGTTTATTATTTCTAGTTTTCATTTTCATAATTTCAAGGTGCCCTTCTTGCTACGGAACAGAACGATACAGAAGCTTTAAAAGTTGTTTTAAATAAAAATCAAATTGACGTAAACTGTCCTATCACTACGGGAAATTATGACAAATATGCGACCAATTGGCACCTTCTGGACGTCGCTGTCAATCTTAATTATCCCAAGACCGTTGCTCTTTTGCAGAAAAACAATGCAACTGAAAATCTGCACAGTATATCCAAATAATCAACTCAAAAGTTTGGAAAATAATAATTTTGCAGTGAACACCTTGGAAAAACGAAAGAAGGCTGTCAGTGAAGCGCTTCAATACACTGACCAGGAATTACACGAACTCAAGAAAAATACCCACACAAAAGTAATCAATTTTTCGCGCATTTATTTTTTTCAATTCGATTATGTTTAGGAAAATGATAAACATATTCAAGTTTTGCTAGCTCACCAGGAGATTCTACTAAGAATGAAAACCAATTTGGATACTGTTGTCAAACCCAATCCACCTCTTTTTGCAAAAGCAGAGACAATTTCGAAATCCCGAGTCAAGATTTATATATCGCACTCGGAAGAGCCAGAAGACATCGTTCTCAAATTCAAAGGTGACATTGAAGCTGAGAATTTATGGCAAGAAATTTGTTGTTGTTTTTAGTCGAATGGTCCGTATATGAGAATTTCGATAAGATATTCGGGGAATATATAGAGCCAAAGACTTCTACAGACGTAATCACTGTGAACGGCTTGGAATCTGGAATGTCATTATACTTTCAAGTCATAGCAATTGGAATCAATGCGGAATCAGATCCGTTAATTTGCTCACCAGGAAAACTCGAAATTTCTAGTTAAACAAAATTTAATTGTGCAATTTAAAATGTATTAATAATAACAGGTTGGGAGGATGGCGAATCGAAACGAGACAGCTGGGACAATCGCATCGAAGATATTGAAAAACTGACTGATGATGTTGAGAAGCATCGCCAAAGTTTGGTCTGGCAAAGAGTTTTTCCTTCGGTCGAGAATGTTGCGAAAAGAAAGAAAAATGGATTGAAAGACTTGTTCACAGCAAGCTCAAAATTTTCAAAGCATGCTACACGGTATAAGCAATCGTAATTTGTGAAAAATTGAATTGATTCAGAGGAGTATTTTTGGCAAGCTTGGTGTATACTGAGGGCAAAGTTTTGTGTACTGTGGATGATTGCCTTCCAATAATTCTTATTGATGAGAATGTGACGACTGTGTCAAAAGATGACCACCACTGGCTCATGAAAATGTCAATGTGTTGGGAACAAGTAAATGGCTTAATGGACACTAATCCAAATGCTTATTCCAACAATATTTCTTTGAGGTAATCAACACGACATGATTTATTTTTCTATCAGTTTACAGTTTTCGCACAAAATTAATCAATGCTGCTATTGCCATGCAACATGCGTTGGGAATTCGCAAAATTGGTCATGTTCATTTCTTACCAATTACGCACGAAAATTGTATTTTTTTACTAACGGTCCGCTTTATCGAATCCATGTCTCAAGTTCAAGTAGAATCTATTAAACTAACAGTGATCAGTTCCGTGGCTGACTTTTTCAGTGCTTAACGCTTCGTTGGCTTTCATTTGACAAATTGCTTCGCAAAAGAATGCCAACACCAGCAATTGATGCGCTTACGCGAGAGACCGTCAATATATTGAACTTCTTCGAAAGTAGTCAAATCCCACTCAAAAGGTTGGTATAATAGTAAAACCGAAATAATTTTGCATTTATTAACATTTCAGAGGACTTTATCTCTGTTATTTGAAACTTCATTCATCTATTAACTCAATTCGAGTGGTGGTTCCGGACAATTTGCCATCCATGCTCCCGTTTGTCCATGTTAGAGACAATCCACATGTAACGAAAGAGGAGTGGCAATGGATAAAAGTTGGAAAATTTTATTCAATATTTCATCATTCAAAAAATTGCAGTCAACTGATTTAAACGAAGACTTTATGGCAACGCAGTCACAAGTATCTCTGCATTCAATGTTATCTACAGCCATCTCAACACTACTTCATGATCTGGACATCGACAATGATCTTGTTCCGGGGCATCGATTATACCACGCAGAAATTATTCAACCAGATGAGAATGTGTCTATTGTATTGGTATACAGTTTAAATTCCTCAAAATGCTGAAAATTTTGAAATTTAAGATTCTTCCTCGTTCTGATGACGTATGCACCGCACCTTCTGGCTCGACAAAACATACAGACCACTCAGAACAACGACGCGGGTGTAGTAGCATTCCCATTCCCGTTTTCGAAATGAGTAATTGCATGATTTTTATATTCAATGCCTAAATTTGATCGGTTTCAGTTCATCTTTGCACTTATCAATCACAATTTTTGACGCTTTATTGCCGACTCTCAATATTCCTTGAGCATTTCATAATGGTTGGATGTTAAAAATACAGCAGACCAACAGTATAATTTGCAGATTTCGCAATTTGAACAACGAAAATGTCTTCTTGAGCATGACTTGAAAGTCTATCGCCATCAGGTAGAAGTTCTAAATGATTTCCAAAAACGACTCGATGAAATATGGCAACGTGCACGGTGGATTAGCAGAGTCGCATCAGAAGCACGTGATAAACACATCATGTAACATTTTAATAACTTTTACTATTTGGTATAATAATGGATATTTAGAGTTTCGAAAAATGCAGTTCCATTAGGAAGACTCATGGCTCCATTATTCAATACATTTGATGATGAAGATTACTCAAAGTTTGGAATTGAAAATGTGACAAATCATCATCGAACAATAGATAAAATTGTGTTTAGGAAGTTAATAATCTTGCCTTAAACCGTTGGCACATTAATCGACCACGTTCTCTACTCAGCTCACCACAAGAAAGCTATCGAGATATTGACAAGTATTGAAAATAATAATATAATATATTAACGAAATTATCATATTTAGTATGTATCGTCGGCGGAAAATTTCAGTTGATGGGACTTGTATTCCATGTTCAAGCAATTCTGATCGAAGCTTGATTCCGGATAGGCCATCAATTCGTGAAGATCAGAAAACAAGAGGAATTATTCACGTAACCGTGGCATATGATTGCAAACTTTCAAAAAACACAAAAATTGCCCTTTCCATTTCAGGAAACACTACAGCGAAAGAAGTGAGTGAAATAAGAATTTAGAAAATCTAAATAAATTTTTAGGTGGTCAGCTTAGTCCTTGAGCAGGTCGCAAAATCGACAACCGCATTGGAGCAAGAAATTTCGCTTCCCGATCCTTCAGACTACTGTCTGGTGTCCGTCAATGGCCAAAGAGAGAGAAGACTCAAATCTGAAACAGCCCTTCTCAAAATTCAGCCAACATGGGCAAAAGGAAACTTCCTAGTTCGTCGGAAAGATGACTTCCTTTCTAACAACGACTGTGGCAACGAGTCGTTGGTTTGAATTTTCTCTATTGTTCACTCATTTGCTGGTTTCACGTAAATTTCTGTATTTCATTAAACTGCTTCAATTGCTGGTTTCAGATTTCATTTTAAATATCAGGATAATGTTTTTTAATTAGTATTGATTTGATCTCAAATTTATTTTTTAAGTATTAATAAAGTTTCAAGGCAAATTTGTCTTACCAAAAATTAATTTATATTACTGAACTGAAGTTTAGTTTTCGAATAGACATTTATTCAGAATTAAACTCTACAATAGGAATTTGAATGTGTAGCAAAAGATTACATATAGAATATAATTAAAAAAAGAGAAATAATATTAAGAAAAAGTAAATGTGCTATAAAAATTTCGGAGGAAAAATAATGACAATTGAACGATTGGATTCAATTATAAAAACCATGTCAAGAGAAAATTGGACATTTTTCTACGTTATATTGGATGAAAAGTATGCATATTTCATGTTTCAATGATTTCAACGTAGACAAGAAGAGGCGTTTCTAAGGGGAAGATGTATTGAACCAAAGTAAAGCTACATTCACTTCAAAAAATGTGTTCGTGTATAAAAAAAATTGTAGGAGAACAAGGAGAATGAAACATGGGAGGATGGTTGAAATTGAATTGTCGATGGTCGAATAGACAATTAAATTTGAGACTAAAAAGGATGTATAGTTTATAATGACAACCATCCTTTCTAAATCTACGATGACTAGAAAACAATATCATTTCAAAAAAAAAACAAAAAAACGCTACATTCAATTGTCTCAATATATTATTAATTCATCGTTATTATTGACGTTATTACAAATAAAAGAATCGAGGAAAAACTAATGAGTGCGCACTATTAACATCGGTTATATGCAACGTATACAGTCATCAGAAAGTAATCGATTTACATAATATCTATGTATTTTTTGGGAAACGGGGTGGGGCAAGGTGACAATGAATTAAATTTTTGTTATATTTGCTCTGTGTTCTCGGTCTCGATATCCTCCTTAGGTCATGAGCTTAACGTATGAGTTGTAGTTGGAAACGTCTCTCTTCAAAATCTCGCGAACTGGTCCCATGACGCGTTCAAATCGAGCGCGGTCCAACTTAACGCACTTAAGATGAGTTTTGGCAACAACTGTGGCCGCACGTGGGCGGTCAAGAAGAAGAGCAATCTCTCCTAAATTGTTGATTACTTGATATACATACTTTCTGATAGCTGAATTCTCACCAAAGTAATCGCTTGGTCCAAGATGTCCGACAGTATCGAATGGTGCGTCATCGCTTCTCTTTTGAAGAACAGTTGCTTCTCCTTCAAGAATGATAAAGAACTCGTCACCGGGTTGTCCCTGAAAAAGCTTATGTCACACACACACACACGTTTTTGTTGGCCGCTAGTTTTATTAATGTACCTGCTCCACGACGTGAGTGCCTGGTTCGAAATCGCATCTCTCCAATGCGTCTGCCACATTCGCGCGCTCCCATTGATCAAGGTCAGCTAAAAAAACCAACAAGATAGTAAACATTAAGATCGTATCTTGAATTCTCACCGAGAATCTGAACTTTTGAAAGGAATTCGTCGTACATCTTTCTCTTCTTGGTAACCGATCCCATCAAAATGCGGCGATAAGTCAAACGATCAATGGCCCAGAGTTTGACGTCAGTCTGGAAAAAAAAGAATTGGATATTGAGCAATTGATGCTGCTGATTGGAATCGCTTTGTTATCCGCACTTACTTTGGCAATGACTGTGGCCGCTCTCGGGGTGCCGTAAATTAAAGCAAGTTCACCGAAAGATCCTCCTTCATTGATGGTCAAAACATATTCGTGGTTGACATATACGTCAACAGTCTGAATAAGACAATTATAATTCAATTTCATTTTAAAGTGTCTTACTCCTTTGTCGATGACATAAAAATTATCTCCTTCTTCTCCTTGTTCAATGATGGTTTCATTGGCCTTCTTCTCGACTGGGAACATCGCATCATACATAGTCTTCTGCTCATCTTCCTAGAAAAAAAATCGTTTGCGGAATGTTCCCGATGGGAATTTTCAAACCTCCAAATGAGCAAACAACAAGTTTTTGCGCATCGCTGACTCGAGAGATTTACGAGTAGCATCGTCTTTGGGAATCACAACCTTTTTATATTCAGTGTCATCTTCTTTGATTGGCTCCGCTGAGATTCCAGTTCGTCGTCCTCCTGATCGCTTTGGTGGCTCGATGATTATGTCATCCTCATCGGGAGCGTCCGGGTGAAGTCCTTCCTGAATACCATACAATTAGCGGATCGGAACAAAAAGAAAAGTAATGGGAATGACAACTCACCATACCTATTTACCCTCTCCCCAATGCGTCAAAGTTCTAATTAAATAGTCCAATTAATTAATTTAGCCTTGAAAAATTTTTTCAATACACTTGACCAATTTTCACTCAATTTTCAATACATTTAGACGACAATGTTTGTGTTCCGGATTATTTCTTTCCCCCGTGTTTTATGAAATATCCATCCATACACACGTAATATTCGACTTTTTTCATTCTTAGTTTTCACATTCTCAAAAAAGAATTGTAATGATACAAAGCCGCAATGCGTATATTCAGCGTTTATTATAACAACAAGAGCATTCGGTCTTAGAAAAGCTTGTTGCTGATTTTCAAATATGCATAAAAAGAAGCGATAGCGCAGCATCGCGCGCGCAACATTTTTTGTCTCTTCTTCATGCATGCATATAACGATGCCGCAGAATTTGTAGTAATCGGCGAATGCGTCACGAGTTTATTTTTTTTTTCAATTCCCAAGGTAAATAATAGAACTTACACATTGCTGGGACATTTCGAAATCGAGTGTTTCGCACTACAGTTTTGCGAAATGAGGAAATGGGCGAGGGAGACCAGAGGAATGTTACCCAACCAATGCTACTTGGCCTACTGAATTGTTGGGTAAAAATGTTGGAAGAAAAGCCACTCGGGAGGAGAAATAGAGTCGATCATAGTTTGGAATCTCTACGCGTTTCGCATTGTTTCTCGTCTGCCAATCTTGATTTTTTCTGTTCTGTTCGCTTGGCATTGGCCGCTCATCCCACTGCAGGTGGGGCTCCGCTCCCAAACGCTCAATTATTTATTGAGATTGAAGATGGGTTCATCACCACTGCTTCTCCATATCTCTTTACCCGCTCGCATACTTTTGCAAGGAGCAAAAAATGAAGGAGTTTAGATATTCATCGATGAGAACCAACTATTTTTTCATTGTTTTGCGATATAAAACGAAGCTCATAATTACAATGTGACAGCGTTTCGGGCTGTTGTGATTTGTTGACGGATGAGATAAATATAGTGCATCTCTTGGTAGCGTATTATACCCCGAACGCAAAAAGTTTACGACATCTCAATCGCAGGATGACAATAAATTTTGTTTCAAAGCTGGTTAGCCTCGTTTTCCTTTTCATTTTTAAAAGAGCTTTAATCACAACCAGATTTGAGGACAAAGCATTCAATATATATGTATATATATATATATAACTATGTATTTATTTGTATTTATATATATATATACCCAAAAACAGAGAAAATAAAATTGGCTGTATTCAGTTGTTGTGGGTGGCATGAAAAATTGTTTTCTACATGGCAAAAATATAAATTTTATATCTTTCCGTAGTATTTATATTAATAGCGTTTATTTGTCATTTTAGCCATTTCAAATATCACTGTACTCTGGATGGTTTTAAAAACACCATGTCTATAAAACGCGATGTTCAAAGATGCCGGATTTTCTGATGCATACGTCACTTCTTGAATGAAATATGATACATGTGAATTTAAAGATTCACTGCATTCTGTCTTGTAAACTTTTTAATTGCACCAGCTGAGCTATTTGGGAGGTGCAACCGACTATTAAATTTCTTGCACAATTCGATCAGAAAATCAAAACCATGTGCTACAACGCATTCAAAAGATAACTATTTTATCTATAATGAAAAGTGAATACGACAGCTTATCCGTTTAAACTTCTTACACTTTATAATTCACTGTCATTCTCTTCAAAATCACGTTTGCGCATTTATAAAAAATAAGAGAACAATAAGTATTCAATAGTAAATTTAATTTTTGCTATAGAGAGACTAGAAATGCATTTTGAAAACAATCAAAAGATCGTCAAACTCGTATTCTTCTAAAAACCCTCTCGCAGTTTACCTTAACTTTTGATGTTCTCCGAGACTCGCTCGATTTAGGACCTACTTGTGAGTTACGGCGGTTGCTCAGCTGTTGCCCCATTGCATTCCTTTCCGATTTCGCGTCTAGACTCGTCAATTAATCAATAAGATTTAATGTGTTACGCGCCATACAAAAATTTATAATGAATATTAATGCTATGAGGCGTGGAGAAATGAAAAATGAAAAAAAAATGCAATTTTCTATCGAAGATAAATGTTTTTCCATCTATCTTGGGCCGGAAAAAAATGCGGTTTTTCTCCTGAGTTCCTTGTTAAAATCAATGGGCAAAAATCGAAATGAAAAATAATGATTTTTAAAAGTATTGAAGTGTCCGACGGGTTGATGAAAACCAAGCAAAATTCTATAGGGGATGAAGGGGAGGGGGTGGGGTGGAGAAAGAGGGCGGGCAAGGCAGCGAGGTCGTTTTCAAGGCGCAGAAAATCTTGTCAAAAAATTTCGATGTCGTCTTGTATTTCGCTTCTGTTAATTTAAAAAAGAAGACAGATGGAAAGCGTGGGGTCGCTTTTTGCACGAGCGTCCTTTGAATAATGCCGCCATTTTAATATAAATTCTTATCGCTGGGTCACTAGTGTTGACGATGGGGAGCATTGAACGTTCAAATTCACGATCCAGTTTGCAGAAAATAAAAAATGAAATCCTATATATTCTTACGAGCGCGTTTAGAGCACAGGTGTAAAGTGTCTAACACTTTCACCTGCTATAGCGAAAAATCGGCATGTTTGTGAGAAATTTTTCTATTATAATGAAATATTTATATTTCATTAGGAAATATTTATATTTCATTAGGCAAGAATGCGTTGAATTTTCATTTCCGGAAATGCATGAAAGATGTGACAATGCTAAAAAAATACTTTATACCTCATCATAGTGTTACGCCAATCAAAAAAATATTTTACAAGTCGTTCAAACAATTCGCGTATGGAAAATCAGATACCATGTTTTGACTAGGACCAAAATTCATATGAAAACTAGTTGAATTTGAACACAGTTAACTTTTAAAACGATAAACTTGAGAAAATGGCCTAATTGAGCGTAGAACAGCGACAATAGGCGCCGTCAATTAACAAGTTCTCCCTCGTACACTAAAAATCAGTAGACATTCCTCCCAAAATTTACCAGAAAAATCGAATGTCATGTCTATGCTAAAGACTGAAGTCGAATGAGGAGTGTTTTGTTGTTCGTCTCAACATTGGAAAATTTTTGAGAGAGAAAAAATCGATATTTGTGGGAAACCGCAGATCGCACACCATCAACAATTTTTTGGGAAGACTTCGGCAGGCAATAGAAACATGCGTGCGTGTATGTTAAATCGAATGAGAAAAATAAAAGAAGCAAAAAAGAAGAAGCAAAAAAAAGAAGAAAAAAGAAGACAGCGAGAAGACGACGACGACGACGACGACCAAGGAAGCTGTCGATGTGGATGACGACGAGAATGGTCAGAACTCTGACTTGGCGGGTCTCGGAGCCACACTCGCTTTGTTGCCCACTCGAGCTCCACTTTCACATCAGGACTCGCTGGAGCTCCGCGGAGCGAGGCACACTCACACACATTCTCTATTTATGCGCGCCGTTGAGTGACTTTGTCAGTTGGAGTCTCACGCAACAAGAGAGCGAAAGAGAACTAAATTTTTAGATACTGACGCTCCGTTTTTGGTTATTATGCCGGTCACGTGGACACGAACTGAGACCCGAAATTCTCAGATACGACAAGCGCCAAACATCTCTAGCGACGAAAAATGACAGAGTTCGCTGTCTCATATTTCAAGCAAACATTTGCTCGCTGTATTCTCAATTAAGTATTGGCAGTGTATGCGGCAATGATATTTTCTGTTCGTCCCATTTTCCGTTTTTTTAAGCACCAGACGCACTGCCCCGGGGAAAAATAATAGCTAATCACACGGACGATGTAAAAATAAGGCCAATTTCAGAGAGTCACTTACAGTATTGACGCCAACGCATAAGACAATATTAAAAAAAATGCTGAAAACATAACATTCTACGCAAAATTAAACACAAAATTAAACTTGCGCTAAATTATAGTTTTTGTAAATTTTTTGTGGATGGGTCTCTCTCTAACGATTCTTCGCATCTGTATGTGTTTAACGATATCGTAGTGGGATTGTTTACGCCATGCTCTTAATATTTCGTCATTTTTAGAAAATAAATATATCAAGTACGTGCGTATATATAGGATACTTTTCACCAAGACGAATCATGGAAAAACGAATTATAGCGGTGTGCCTGCACTTTCGTATTGATACATGCACATTTGTTTTATGTTCACTGAATATAAGAAACCACACATCTTTTAATTAGCTAGATATTCGTAATTTTGTGGATATCCGCTAAAAACCTGGTTTGAAAAGAATTTTTTGTTGTTTAAAATATTCTAATTAAATGAGACCAAATTTCTCTTTTTGAATACGAAAAGAAAACGTTTTTGAGACTAGTACAAATTTATTTCTCCATAGGGAACTTTCAAAAATCGTCGTTAGAAATTCAAAACGTTGGTGTTTTTGAGGTACTCACGATAAAATCAAAACGCGTGATGTCATTTTACTTAAGAATATTATCGTCTAGGCTCGTAAATCGAAACTTCCGATCTAGATATGCTCGTATTACTAAACAGAACGCATCTACTCATGGATATCAAATTCCCATAACTTCCTTTTCGGCAAAAAAAAATGGCTGACCTGAGCGCGTTCGTTGAGTTTTTCAAAATGCTCCTTCAAGAAAAGAACTGGGTTGTCGGGTTTGTGTATGCAAAGGACCACTGAAATTTCAAACCATTCTTATACCTTTTCTGAAACAATGGAATTACCGATAGCCTCTTTAACAAGCTGTTGAATATTGTGTCGTTGAACATATGCTTGGCATTGTGCCAGCTGATCTTCTTCGTTTCCACCCGACATATTTCCAGAAGATTTACCTGAATGCTGAAAAAAAATTGAAATTAAAAAGTTTGAAATTGAAAAAGAATTGAAATTATAAAGAATATTGAAAATGACGGAATGATGAGAATGAAAAAAAAAAACGACGAGACAGAGAGCTGGAAGTGACAACAAAACTGAAGTGAGTGGAATAATATAAGAATAATAACATCGAATCAAAAACGTGTCGAAAAGGCATTATAGAAGAGAAAAATGCAAATTTTCTTTCTGGTCGCAATTTTTTGCGCTGGTTTTGAATGAATATGAGATTGTGCGTGTGAATATGCATTTGAAAAACGCACACCGGGCCAGTCGGACAGCAAAATATCACGAGGAACGGAGCGATGCAAAAAAACTGCAATTTCTGTTAACCCACATTCATATAAATGTATGTATGTATGTTTATTGAAAAAAAGACAGTTGTAAACGAGACGGGTGATAAGGTGCAGAGGCGCAGGCAATATATAACGCTGGCATTTTCAAAGATAGAAAAACGATGAAAAAGAAAAGAAGGAACAGAAATGTTGATCAGTGTAAAAGTTTGAAAAATCGGCCTCTGATGATTATTATCATTTTTTTGTTTTGATTACTTTCATCACGATCAAAGCAGCAAGCCAAATAATGTGCAGAAAATGGAATTGACACACTCTCCGCAGTGGGTTTTATACAAGACATGCCAAATTTTTGATTGATGATTGTGTCATTTAAAGTTGTCAGTTCAAATTTACGCGCAAAAATCAACCTCATACATGTCTCTTCGACACAGATTCTGGATATTTTCTTGTTCGGCGAGACTTCGAGCGTGGGTGGTGAGAAAAATAAAGCGCTATGATCATATATGAGGAAATGGAGCGAATCGATAATGCAAATGCACACGCTGGCTTATTTCACCTGCTCGAATGAATCCCAGCGAAGGGAGACCGATGCACCGCACGAATTACAACAACGCATGCGTTTCTCTAAAGCGTTCTCGCTATCTTCTATTATCTCTTTTGATGTAATGATGTAATTGGTTGGAGCTCAAATTGATTCGTGATGAATAACGAGAACGTTGCTTAGAATTTCCATGAATAAACAAATTCCACCTGAGCATGTCTTCAACAAAGCGCCCTTTTTGTATTTCTACAAATAAATGCAAAGTTTGTCAAAATGAAAATTTGGTTTTTGTCTAATTTCATATTATCATCAATTTTAAATACAGGTATACGGTTGAGATTTTCGGTTTTGGCACATTTTGAGTTCAACTCAATTAGATGATGAGAAAATGAGCATTTTAGAATCTGATCCGCAGATACCAATTGATGCGATTAAAGTCAACTGAGATAAGCAGCAAAGTAATATCTCTCTCTCTCTCTCTTTCAAAGAAGATTTGTTCGATTAAAAAATAAAACAACCGTAAACTCGCAACGAGAATCAATGATCTCAGTAAATAAAGCGCCAAAGATAATCTTAACTGGGGACAGATAGGTTCAACATTTCTTGAAAATGTTTTATCCTTTTCATCTTTCACTCCAACAAACTAAACTTTGAGATCATTGTTCAATCCGCCTACGAAGAGACTGAAAATTATTGGTGAAACGTGCATTCAATCAAACCAGGGATCACATTGCCAGTCGTATGAATAAATTAAACTCGTTGACGAACTGGAAAAAAAGAAACATTGGAGAAAAACAACGAGGATGTTACAAAACAAAAAATCGAAGCGGCGCACGAAGAAAAACGGGTCTGGAAAATAAACGAAAAACGGAGCGGCACCAAACATGGACGTAAATTTTAGAGAGACACGACAAATGCAAAATAAGGGCCAATGATTCATGTTAGTTGGGGGAAATTGTTTTTTTTTCTCGTCGTTATTTTTCCTTTTCTCTATTATGATGTTTCCTTTACAAAACAAGGTATTGTTATTAGACAGCAAATTAGATGCGGGTCCTAAATTAATGTTTGGTGCTCATAAAAGACGTTTCCTCTTTGCGAAATTGCACATTTTAAAAAATTAAACATTTTCTGTCAATATATTGATATAAGTATAATCGTTTTTGACATACCTACTACTATGTACAAATGATTAAAAGCGCGGATTAATCCGAAAGAATGTTGACGCACGTGCAATGAATGAAAAATAACACATACTAGCTATTATCGGTTGTGGGGAACATAATCATTGCGGTTTTGCATTCAAATTAGCTATCATTCCCACAATTTAATCGAGAGCATGTATTAACGAGAGGAAACATTTGCAAACAATACAATCAAATTGACCCATTGAGTTCGGATTATATTCTTTTTTTAACATTCATATTTAACGATGTTCATGTCTCAATGCCAATCATTATGATGACAATAAGCGAAAAATGTTTTGCAGGTTGTCTACCTCGTTGAAAGCGATATCTAGTCAATAGTCAAACAGCTCAATGTGAAATTTATTTCATTTCAATCAAATATACATTGAACGGGTTGATATAATTTTAAGAAACACAAAAGTTGAAATGCTAGTAATGAACAATTTCAAGAAATGGAAATTAAAGAACAAGAGTACACATTACGTTCCGTAATTGCAGGGTTTTTCACTTTCTACCGTAATCCAGTACATTTTTGCCATCAAATTCTCTCCTCAACGTACAATAAATTTGAACAAAATAGTCTCAAAACTATCGTTTTGCTGTTGGGAAGTAGGCACATTCATATTCCCAAGCTAAAATTTGCACACATACATAAATCTTATGATGTCATACTGTAAAGTTCGCAAAAATCTAGTCTTCTCTTTTTTATTGTGAAATGAATGGAATAGATAACTTTCGGAAAAGATACTGATGATAACATTTGGGAAAACCACACGTGTGTTATTTTGACAAAATCTTCGGAAATGCGAATTTCTTACGACCGCTTTAGAATAGTGTTTATCAACCATAAATTACGCATTCTACTTTATCATCTCGCACTAACAACATGGATAGAAATTAACAATTGATCATTCATAAAATGAGGTTTAATAAATGACATGGGGTTGTTAATGAGCTCTCACAAGGCAATCATGAGCTGGCTTCGTTAATTTCAATTAGCGATAATATTTTCAAGAAAGCAATGACGTGAAATTAAAAATTTTAATCATTCGTCACTTGGAAACGATACAATGAAACATCAACATTACTATTTTTGTCGAAAAATACTCTTCTTTAACATATGAATATTAGTCATTCAAGCGCACTGAAATGAAAATTTTGACACATTTATCACTGAAGTTCATTTATTTCATTGACTATGTAAATTAATTTTTAAAATATAAATAGTTGTAAATATCATTATTGGCAGGGGATATTGATAAAATTATATCAATTGAATAACACTTGAGAAGTATACGGGAAACAATTGTAGCTAGGCAACGAGTGATTATTCGAATTTCATTCAATCTAACACCATTGAGCTCATTGAAGCTCAAAAAATTATATAGTGAAGCGGGTTTTTATCATCGAGAAACAAGCAAGATTAGTCACTGCAAAACCAAACAAAGCTGCAAAATTCCAAATCACGTTATTATGGGCATTTTTTTGAGATTCGTATCATTTGAAGCGTTTCGAATTGGATGTTGAGATTTTCAAAATGTTCCGCAAAAAAAAACTGAATTTTTCACGAACAACATCGGACATTTCGCGCAACTCGTTGAATTATTAATGAGGATCCACCGTAAACAACATGTGGAAAAATAAATAATTATAGAGAACTACAGTAATACCAGATTTACGAAATATAAAAAATTCCAACATTACAATTACAAATTCCTAAAAAAAATTAAAGAATTAATCTTTTCAAAATTAGAATGAATTTTCTCGAAACTTAACAATAAAAACAAAATACCAATTGTGGTGAAACCATAAAATTTCATAATTCCAGTTTATCGTTCTGAGTGTTTATACATTTTTTTTTTCAGCGGAAAACATAAATATCAACTTACAGCATTTCACTGAATGGTATTACATTTTCAAGCATGCACCTCTAAAAGTCATCACTGGTAGAACTTTAGGATTCTCTCAATTCTACTAAGATTGGCCCGGCGTGTTGGGACTGAACGAGACCCGCTTCACTACTTTCAACATCTTCCTTTTCCGTCGGTCGGCTTCAATTTTTTCACTCTGCCAACAAGACAGACGAGAGCACGCTCATTTCTGGGCATGATGTAAGCAAGTAGGATTGAAGACGTGAGTGAGCAGCGCGGGTGTATGCGAATGCGTGTGTGTGTGCGTGTGAAAGCATGGATGAATGTAAGCGTATATACTCAGCGAGTTGAAGAATGCGGAGAATGCGATAAAAATGAGAAAAATGAAAACGAAGAACTAAAAAGGAAAAAAAAAGTAGTAAACGAAAAAAGTAGAAGAAAAAATAAAGAAAACAAACGTGCTAACGGGTTTTTTTTGTCGATTCCGCTGAGGACTAAAGGCTGCCCCAAGTCCTTCAGAAGCTACTTCTTCATTCAACTTTTTCTTTTTTTTCCTTTTTTTTGTGTTGGCTGATCGCAACAAAAAGCCAACGCAACTAAAATATTCAATGATCAAGGGAAGCAAATTTCTTTCGAAAGGAAATAGTAGAAAATAATCAGATGAAATATTCAATGAGATATTAATAAAAAATATTACTGAAAAAATTATTTTGAAGGAAAATTGTTTAGAGTGTTATCCCGACATCAGTTATTACAAGACGAATGAGACCTATTAGTTAAATAGGCCATATAAAGAAATGCAGACCCATTAATGCGAAAATTAATGGCGTTCGGGAGAGTCTTTTGATTTGGGAAAATGGGGTCGTTTCGTTAACTACAATTCAAAAGAGTTTTTAAAAAATCGAAATACTTCATCTAAAAGTAAATTGGCTGTCGTCGAAACGGCCAATTTCACGATTTAATCTAATTTGAACTGTACCGATTGGAAGAACTGATGTCACCAATTTTCATTTGATCATTTAACCTGATTCAACAAAAATTGACGAATCTCAAGTGTTGATTGCTTGTAACTAATATATAAAAATTTTGAAAAGAGAAGATTGAAATGAGGAAATATATATCCGCCATCAAATTTGAAAAGATATATTTCTTGACAACTAACAAAAAACAATAAAAAATTTTATTGGTTTCAATTTTTTTGAATAATTTGAATATCCACATTTAGACAATTTTGCTTTAGTTATTAAACGTTTATATCGAAACTTCTTCAGTGGAGAAACAAAAGATAATTTAAAACAATTTTTGATCAGTTCAAAGCGATTTTTGTTGCTTCCTGCAAAGTCCAGTATCAATTGAATAACTTGCAGCATGAGAAGAACAGCGTGATTTTCTGAACTTGCAACGACTGATTCAAAGTTCGAAAAATTGCATTGACACCTAATAGGCTCAGAAATCAATTAGAATGACCAACCGCTGGAACAAAAACATAAGAATGGAAAGCACAAAAAAGAGTAGGATAGGTGTATTTGGATATTGAAGATGCTTAAAATATTGAAAACTTATACGACTTAAAAAATATTGTTAGTCGACGTCCGGCGACTGTTGTATGCAAAGCAGATTTTAAGGCTTGTGTGATTCTGTATTGATATTTTGATTTTTAAAATTATCAAAATAAAGTAGGAATGCTGTATGACCAGATAGTTCGTTCAAATACTTTGCGAATGAGGTGTGTTAGTACATGTAACAGCATACAGACATCGCGAGATGTCGACTATTTATTTGGTTATTTCCCGATGTGCAGAAAATTAACATTTTCATATTCTTTAGAATAAAAAATTATAAAAAATATTTTCTGATAGGCAATTTGATGAATATGCTGACTTATCTAATCGCAGAATTAATTTTTGCTCATGTCATAGGATTAGAAAGTGACGTGCATTCTCAATCAAGTGCAGGCGAAAACTTTCTCAATTTTGGCTTTCGAAAATTTATGGTCAAAGGTTCGTATTCAATTTCCTCGAATTGAAAAAAGGGCCAATTTTAAAATCAAGATTGAAAGTGGAGCTGTCACGTTAAATTAGAACTTACTGGCTCGAATGAGCGTGCAAAGAATAAAAATTGAGCTTCTTTCACAGTAGAATTCTATTAGATTTGGTATCCTGTGGCACAAAATTCAATTACATTGGTTGTGCATTTTTCTATTCTTCCATCATCACTTTTTTCTTTTGCTCCTTTGGCAAAAAAAAAACACAAAAAATAGCTGATGAGAAGCTGAACAACTGCACATTAGTAAGGAGGAAAAGACACGAAATAGGCGACACAAATTTTCGTCTGTGATAAATTGCCAAACTAGTAAATAAAAAATGAGTGGCAAGAAGTTGAAGAAAAAGAAGAAGAAAAATTGAGAAAGAAGAAAAACTTTAGTAACACACGGGGACTATGCTCACATTGAATTTCTCGCAATAATAACTATCAATTCTCAACGGGAAACTCTCGCTCTCCATTCCGTAGAAATTCTGATAATTAGCTGTTGACGTCAGCAAAAACGTATTTCTCGATAATTGAATATGATATTACCGGAATATATAATTTCCGCCTAGCATAAGTGCGAAGGTTCTGAAAGTAGATCAACGAGATTACCACGCGAATTCTCTATTTCGTCATGCTGACAAATGTCATTGCGCTCAGTTAGAGATAATAATTGAATATATTGCACCTAATCAAATATTCAGCGGAATACTTGATTTTCTGATTTATGTATACGAATAAGGGTGAAAGTCTTATATCTTAAATTATTTTAACTTGTCAAATTAAAAAGTGGATTTAACCAATTGCATTGACTTAATTACGTTGTTTGTAAAACACGAGTTTATTACTCTATACGATTTATAGAATTTCTAAATGAAACTTGAATATGCATTGGAAAATTGAAGAGATGTGTGAGAGAGCTATGATTTAGGCATTCTAGTTTATATCAAGAATTTCCGAATGCCAAATTTGAGTCTAAAAATGAGTCGGCCGCAAAATTTTTCGTTAAACGTGAGAAATGAAGATTTTAAGCAAGTTTTCTCCGAAAAATATAAACCAAACAAAAATTGGATACGGAGAAAATTATGTGGTTTAGAGATGCGGTCAGTGAAAAAGCAAAAAATGAATTATGTATATCGCAGACAATTTCGAGTGTAAAAGTAAGAAAAAAAGGAATTTTAATGAAGGAATTTCATTACTGAGAAATTGAATTTTCAAAAAATCATCAATTTAGAATAGTTCAAATTAATATTGTTTTAATATACCATAAATGGAATTCCCATTGAAAATAAAACTACTATTTTGAAAAAAGAAACGTAGGTCTTATTGGAACGCATAAATTTAAATTTAATTGGTTTTGCGAATTATGAAATCACATAAATCTCAAATACTACCTATTCGTAATGTACCACATGTCGTTTTGCGTAAAATTTATTGTGCAGTTTTAATTGGGAACCACAAAATCAATGAGCATTTTTCCAAGTATCCTCTTTTCGCGAAATTCGCGGCAGCATTCTTATCTTTATATTGAGAAACATTTGAAGAACGGGAGAGGTTTTGAGACGATTTAAACCGAAGATATGAACATGAAAAAAAAAACAGTTTGGGTTACGTTTGAAATACAATCGTCATTTTTGTTCTACAGATAATTTTGGTTGATATTTTCATTTTTCTCACACTCAAATATGTTTCTTGACTAGTAACTCATAATATTTTAAATGCTATCATATCTACAATTCATATCGTAAGAAATGCAAGAGTTCAATTCCAAACTCAACGTTTCGGTGTTGCATTTTATGCAACTCCATTTAATTATGCCCGCAAATTTTTGCATTTGTCCGAATTAATTAGTTCATTTCTTCGCGAAACGCGCAAATTGCCCTTCGAAGCATAGACAACGATGCACATTTATTTATGTTCGTTGTGCGCATTGAGGCTCTCTACGGTTGAGCATCAACAAAATTAGATGCTTCATTTGACATGTTTTTTATGGGTGATATTATGCATTATAAATAGCTATTTTCGACGCGAAAAACTAATTATAATAATGGTTTCAAAACAAATTGCAGGTAAAAATCATACCTTTTCGCCAAAATTGATTATAACGAGCCTTTTTATGAAAAAGCTATTAGCACGGAATGGAGTTGGAATCGTTTATCGGGTATTCCAATATAGAGCACTACTCAACTTTTGAAACATCATGTAAAAACCAGAGTACCAGACATTGCAGACGAACGTCTTCTCGTTTTGTACACTCTCTCGTCCGTGTGAATAAGACTGGTCGTGCGGTGCGGCAGGCGGCGCGTTCCCCAAACACACTCACTGCGAATCATACTTGGTCGCCGGGAATTCAAAAAAAAATATATACTTAATCTACTGAAGGCAGCAGTCGATGCCACGCCTACTCACAAATTTCGTTAGATGTGCCGGAGGGGGTACCCCTTGTTCTTGGTTGCTCGCATCGAACGTTGCCTAGCAACGTTCGTTGAAAAGACGACGATTCTGATTGTGGCCGTCAAATATAGATGGAGAATAAAAGTATTGGTGTAAGAGAATTGGAATAAAGGAGTGAATAGAATTTTGTGTGAAGAAGGCGTGGCATTTAAGAAAAGGGCGATATACAAACAGCTAGCTGAAAACTTCCGAAACGCAATTTTCTCTCATTATTTGCTGCCATAGGAAAATGAATTAATTTCGCTACAATGCAGAAACAGCAGCTAACGGTATGTTAATTTACTTCATTATAACAAAATGTTAGAAAAACTCACTATAATGAAATAATACGCGAAACTATAGGAAACAATGATATTAAGAAATGTTATCTATCCCTCCTCATTTTGTTCTGCCATCGTATCACTTTGTGTAATAAAGGACATTTTGAAACTCAGCGATCGTCTTTGATTTTTGACTGCACCACATTTCTCACTATTGTAACATATGTTGTTCTCAATACTTTTGAGATTTGTTGAGAACGAAATCAAGACTTTTGTGTTATTTTTTCCCGAATCCAACAGAAAGTGGAACAATGCCTGGCAACTGGCAATGTCCAAGACACCAATAACATAAATTTAAAAAAAAGCGAAAGAAAAATTTTCAACCATTTTTGTGCCAAAAATTTATTTAAAGATTACATCAAACCATTAAAATAATATTTCGAAATATTTACTAGCACGTATATATTTGTTTTTTTCGTTGTTATGGCAGCAAAATTAAAGCGAAAAAATGAGTAATCACTCAAAGTATTGATTTGTGTAAGTTATAATATCTTTAATAAGTAACTCGAATTATATTTAAACTAAAAAAAATGATAGAGATATTAATGTATTGATTGTATTTAATAGCCTTCTTAGGAAACAGAATTAATTTGGTTCTACGACATTTAGTTTATCACCAAAAGTAGTAAAATTCGTCTCAGAGGGCATTTTAGCAAAGGTTAATGAAAATTTGACTAATTTGTGCTTACGACAAGAAGTCGCTTAGAGAAATAAACCTTGTCCGGAACCAATGTATCTTATTTATAATGAGAAATGGAAATCAGATGTCAATTGTTTAAACTAAATTGGTTGGCCTTGTTTCTTTTCAAATATTTATTTACATCAAATTTTATTTTTCACATTATTTTGGCATTTTCCCTCACAATTATAACATTTTCCCATTTATTTGGCACAAATTACAACGAAATTTTTTAATGATCAAAAACAGGGTATGCATTTTCCTGGGATATGAAAAACCATGTGATTTTTTATTAGTATCTTGTGACATATAATAAAAGTTATTGAACAACTAATAATAAAATGAATCATCGGCAAATAATTATATGAGCATTTTTTATTCCGTAAAATTTAATATTAAATTATATATGTGATTTGATTCAGTTTTTCTGCATTACGAGGTTTAGTCACAATAATTGCAGAAATTTTTGCTCATAAAATTTTCATGTTGTTACTCTTTGTATTTACCCAATTTGCTATTGAATGGCCGAAAAAAGAACCAACAACAAAAGCGTACATTTTGTAGTTATTTCTTCTTTGTTTCAAAAAAAACTCAATTCATTTTGTACAGCCAACGTCCATTACTATTAGTCAAGAAGGTTAGGTCAAGACAACTCTAAAACGTTTTATACGCTTCCGATGTATTGAAAAACGTCTATTGAAAAGTGCGAAATTGGCGCAACCAAAGCGATTTGAGTTTTTTGTCAAGTTCTGAAGAGTTATAACTTCTATAGTCTGGTCTTGACGTTTGCGGGTTCAAAGATTATACATTCAGAAATATCTAAAAGTTTAAACATTGAGTTATTATAAACTCACACATGGTTATCGAAACGTCAAACATGTAAATATCCATTCGTGAAATATGCATACATTCATAAAAATGCATGTAAATAATAAGTTTCGTATAAACGGGGGTGTAGCACGAATGAAAAACCAAAATGGATGACTATCGGCAAAAAATTGTTCCGGTTTGCGCAAAACATATGTTTTATTAGCCGGGGCCAGTTTTTTTTGAGGAAAGTGAATTTTTTAAAGATAAAATTATATGGTTGCTAAGCAAAGTTATACAATTGGATAAAAACATAGGTGAACAATATTAGGAGAATATGAAACAAGATATTTGGTCATATCTAATTCTCTAGTCCCATTTAGGCAGATCAGACGATTCTTCATGCCCATAAATCTTGTACGTCCTCAAAAGACATTTCACATATTTCAATGACAAAAATAGAAGAACAATACATTTGGAATCCTTGGTTTTTGACTTCAGATGACTTATTTCTATAAAAACCTATATTTTTCTGAATTTCAAGTTGAATTCATTTTAAACGAAATTAATAAAACAACTATATTGCCAAATTTGCAGGTTGTAGTTCGGGTGCGACCGTTAAACAATACCGAGAAAGCGCGAAAATGTTTTCAGTGCGTTTTTCCTTTAGACAAAAAAGTACGTAAGAAATTCATATTTTGAAAAAGAAACTTCAAACTCGCAGAGAATCCTTCTCGTCGACCCGGAAAAGTTTGAAAACAACATTCTTCGTCAAAATCGGCAACATGAAAGGAAGTTCGAGTTTGATGCCGCATTCGGCGCCAGCTCAACACAGGTGAACTGAAAAATGAAAAAGCAATAATTGCGTTTAATTGGTTTCTTTTTTCAGGAAACGGTGCACGAAACGACGACAGGTCCAATTATCGATTCTGTGATTAATGGGTATAATGCTACTGTGTTCGCATATGGCGCCACAGGTTCCGGCAAAACATACACAATGATAGGAACAAAAGAGAAACCGGGATTAATGACCTTAATGACAAAAACACTTTATGAAAAACTGGATAGTAGTCAGTACCAGGTTCTACTTTCTTACATGGTAAATGCGTAAGAAACAAACATTGAAAAATGGATTTTGAAGGAAATTTACAACGAGATTATTCGAGACCTTCTCAACCCAAATGGAGCCGATTTGGACCTTCTAGAAGACGAAAATGGCAATATTCGTGTGCCTGGATTGTCATCTGTCCGAGCACCCAATCTTTCAAGAGTGAGTCAAGAGCTCCTACGCCATACATTATTAAAAATCTGACAAGCACTTGAGCATTCTCATTTGCCACAATTGCCTCATTTTCACAAAAAAATAAACATCAGAAATCTCACACAAACGTTTATTGCCTCTCTCGTACGATTACTCAAGAATTCACAACATTTAACGTGAATTCAGATCATGCAAATTCTTCAAGAAGGCAATTTGCGAAGAACTCAAGAAGCGACGATGGCCAATAAGACAAGCTCAAGAAGCCATGCATTGCTTCAGGCGAGTATTTAATGGAAGGATAAACAAATGAAAATATTAGAACGGGAATTATCTTTAAAGTAAAGGGGGGCCTTAGAGCTTTTGAATATTCAAAACGATATTTTTACTAAATCTAAAAATTAATATAAATTTTGAGTTTTTTTACATCTCTACCGTATCCAAAATAATAAATACTCCATCAATTCCGAAAATACTAAAATTAATCAAACGATTTTTAGGTAATGATTGTGAAAAACAACTCTCTTCACAGTAAACTTTTTATGATTGATCTCGCTGGCTCTGAGCGAGCATCTAATACGCAAGTATGCAAATTCAACAAAACTCTCATTACATTATTTAATTTTCAAGAATCGTGGACTTCGCCTCAAGGAAGGAGCAGCAATCAACCGTTCTTTGCTGGCCCTTGGAAATGTAATTAACTCTTTGGCATCAAGTAGGCTTTTTTCCGAATGTTTCGGTAACGAGATATTGGTTTTTATAGAAAATACACGTTTTGTTAACTACCGAGACAGCAAGCTTACAAGGTTATTGAAAGACTCGTTAGGTAAAGTATCAAAAAATTTGTATCAAAAAATTCGAAATGACCATAATATTGACAGGCGGAACCGCAAAAACTTGTATGATTGCTCATGTAACACCTGCCAGCTCGAACTTCGAAGAAACCTACAACACTCTAGTGTATGCTTCGAGAGCTATGAACATCACTAACAAAGTATGATTACATTTGCCATAGAACACATTGAATTTCTATTGCAGACTGTGCGCAATCGACCAGCATCGGCTGATCAGGTGTACACAGAAGCAATGAATTCCATTAGAAAAGAAATCGGTTCGAGAATGAAAAACTCGGTTTCAACAACAACACGTATGTCTTGCTATTTATTACAATTAGTTAATGAAAAATATAGAAATAAAATTTTTGTTTAGTTTCTTATAAATCTTCACGCGCTCAAAAAGCAGTTTCACGCAATGGAAGTATTACAAGAAATTCGATCGCAAACGACAAAAAGTCGCTGCCAGTTAATGGAAATTCATTATTTTCTCAGCTCAAAGAGCAGTATATGACATTAAACGATAAACAAAAACGTTTAAGGTGACTTCTTTTTTCATTTTTTGCTTTGCGGACTTGTAATTTGACTTTTTCAGAGAAAAACTGATGACTGTAAATCAAGAAGCATATGGATTGGAAATGTCGCTCGTTTCAAAAAATGCTATAATTAGTGCCTGGGAGAAGCACAATGAGAATAAAGTCGCCGAAAGTATTGAACGATTAAAAAGGGATGGTGAAGAGCAGGTACATTTTACTGGTTTATGAAGGATTACAGAATAAGGAATTAGTGTTATAAATAGCATTTTGAATCCATCTTTTGATTGCATTAGCCGTCGCTCCATAATTGGATTTAGCGATATTTTCGGATATAATAATTACGTTTCTCTCAATCTAATCTAAAATGCGCACCAAGAAAAATAATGTTTTCATAAAACATGAAAAAAGGCTATTTCTTTTCAAACTAAATTGTATGCAAGTTTGGTTTCAGAAAAACAAATTGAGTGAACTGGCGGAGGCACGCTCGAAAATTGAGCGTGCGCTGAAGAAAGGAGAAGAAACATCTGCCAATTTGGAATCGCGCATGAAAGCCCTTGCTGCCACGAACGAGCAAAAAGAGATGGTCCGATTGTTGGTCCGAATGGGTGAAATTGAAGCGCAGAGTATTCATTTTCCCAAAATTGCAATGAATTTGTATGTCCATTTTAGACATTTCCGCTCTCAGCGATTTGGCGATTCAAGAGTTGATAATGGATCGAACCGATAGCTCGATTGCGAAACTGCAAAAATATGAACTGGTAGCTGATAAATTGATTGATGGGAGACTTGACGGTAATATTGAAACAAAAAAAGAAATTGTAGTAAACATCTAATTTAGAAGCTGATCGCAAGAAGTTGGAGGAAGAATATCGCGTAATTAAAAACCAATTTCATTATACAATTCTACCATTGAAAAATATTCATTCCACAGTTTCGTGGAATTCAATGCTTCTTCCAAAAATTAACAACAACAATACAATTTATGCTGACAAGTATAAAAAAAACGATAATGACAATTGATTGTATAAATTGTAGAAATGAAAGCCCTGGTAAGAGGAAACGTGAGCGGCGTGATTCTATTCAACTTCCGGCAATACCAAATGGTAAAGAAAAACAACAAGTGCAACCATCAACTGACTCAACAGATGGTAGGATATGTACATCATTGTGGCAAAATGGTAGATTTGTTTTTTTCCAGACGATTCCATCACGACGCCTGTAAGTGACAGACTACCAAATATTTGAAATCAACTTGTCAAATTTTTTTCGTATTTGTCTCTTACTCATTATTTGATCTGCGACTTCGCCGTGTGCCCTCTAATACGAAATAGAGTAGAAAACTTCATTCCGAATTTGATTCGAACGATCTCTGTTGAGGAATAAACCAATAGTGTAACCATCCTGGTGGTCAATCAACTACGCAGATTTTTGAAAAAAAAAACTGGTAAAAATAGTTTTCTCTAGACGGTTTTAATGTTGTTAAAGGGTTTTTACATTTTCACAAAGTTTTTTTTTTCCTAAATCTGCTTATTAAAATAATATGTTATAATGTGTTTTGATGTACTGCAATTGATGAAAATATAATAGAACGGATTAAGATTTATTTATAGTGGAATCATCTTGTTTATTGTTAATGATAACATCTAATGCTTGTAATAATATCTCTCAAATAGCTGTCGAAAATGTTATGTGTTAAGGTTCCTGTTCTTTCACCAATAGTATTCTTTCTAAAAACGCTAAACCCGTGTAAAATTCTATCAATGTGATAATAAATCGTTTTATTAGTTGAATATTTGGTATCACAGCGTTTTCAAGATGCAGCCGGGGAATTGATTAGACAACAATATCTTTCCAGATGAAGCCGTTGATGAATCCAACTTGAGTCAAGTTTTCATCATAGATTTCTATGGTTCTATTTCCAGCTTCTTCGCACTTGATTGACATAATGAAGCTTCCAGTGAGCTCAACTGGGAGACGAACAGCTTCAATCTCAATCAACTGAAACCTCAATTTTTGCTTTGTAAAGAAAATGTTTACAAACTTGACGTAGTTTCAAATTAGTGGTGAGGCGGATGAGGCATTCAGCAATCCTGGTGATTGCATCAGCATGCAATGCCTAAATAATTATTTTAGCCATCAAAACCACTGGAAAGTACCTTCTCAGTATTTCTATCAAACATAAAGAAGTATATGGATTCATTTTTTGTTTTTCCGAAAGTTACAACCGTATCTTTTTCGTCAATTGCACTCAAAACGTCAGATGATATCGCTACTTTTTCACAGTCATTGAAAACTATCGGGCACTTCTTCTGTTTGTAATGCGGGATCTTCAATACATGTTCTAGAAAACTTCTGATTATATTTTAATAAACCTGAACAGCAAGAGCGCAATATTCAATTCCGTCGGCCATTGTTTTCACAGGATGAGGACCAATGTTGGCGTGAAGTGAGCCTTTGCGCACATGTTCGAGATGAAGAAACATGGAATTTTCCATCAAATGCTTCTTCGCCAAGCGAACAAGATCAGGAACAACAACGGTGAGGATCTCCATATTGCCCAATGGTGACTTAACAGCAATCATGTCCATATTTATACATACTGGTGTTTTGTTTAAGGCAATTATGCAAGTGCAAACATCGAATTTGTGCCAATTGTCCTTTTAGAAAAAAAATCGCTGCGAAACATCGAGTTCATCACTAGTTACTAGTTATGTAGAAAAAAATATGAGATTTGAGAGGAAAAACTAATTAATAAATTTATAATAAATTATAACAGTTATTCTTTTGTAATCCCGGTGATGAAACACACAATTTATCATGACAACATTTAATTATATATATATATATATATATATATATATATGCTTTCATATTATTTGCTTGAAAAGTTTCCTCTCTACTATATGTACAATTTCTTGATATATAATTTGGATCATATGTAATCAGGCAAAAATAAAGTGCTTCCTTCATGACATTTCAACCCACTAGATTTCTCAAAACTTAAGATGAAACAAACTGCGGAGAAGGGAGGGGGAGGTATTGCTCAAATTAACAATTATCGATAGTATTTGCAGGAAGGTCTCGTAGGCCGCTTTCGATTTATTTGATCATCTACTCTCAATGCACAAAACCCGCAAATTATTATGATCAACGCCTTTTAGTTTGCGCGACGCGCAACAGATTATCGCGTATTACTGTCATTTCATTCAATAAATTTTCACGCATTGAACAACTCGTAGCTTTTGTACTAATGTTTATTGATATGGTTTAACTTATTGTAGGGATCTCTAGTCCCAAAAATGTGCAACAGAGCTCTTTTGAGTGGATATGTCAATATATAACAGAATGGCACGAAAGTATCAATGTCTTCCGCTTCATCAAGAGATTTGATATTTGATTTAACTATGTTTGCTCGTTTTATCCAAACAATAAAAGCGCATATCCCTCGTCCAATAGTTACTTGCATACATTTGAGTTTGCGAAAATTTACTGGCAGTTGTTTTACCAAACGCCGGCGAGCCTTTTGGTCTCTTCAGGTCACCGCGCTTTTTTCCCAATAAATGCTCAAATTACCTAGGTCAGTATTTAAAATGTTATACGGCTCTAGATAGATAATTTTTTGTGAATGGTATTATTGCCAGGTATTTTTCACATTAATATGAATTATTTCTTAACTGTTTTCTCTTTATGTATAACCTAATCAACGAAAACACTAGTAAATCTCAGATGTGCGAGGCTGATGCCCCCGATGCCATCGTCTCTTCCTCGCCCGGGTCCACAAAAAAGCGCGCATTGCGGGGTGCCAATTGACATTTAGTTCGCTGCCCTCACCCAAGCCGTTCATTCAACACCCAATCAGTAAAACCGATTGATTTACGGTTTTTGTCACCTGCTAGGCAACTTGTTTTAATATAGATTATACATTTACACGTACATAGATTTTGTGAAGCCCGCTAAAAGTGTGTAAGAGGTGATGCAGGTGAAACCTCTTATAAGAGCGTTAACGATACTTGCGAGTACTCCACAATTAATGTGTGCGCAAATAAATAACAAACGTATGATATAAATTTATGATAGGAACACGCCGAAAGGCGGCTATAAACCATAATTGTCAAATAAAATAATGTCTCTAAGACAATACTTTAAGAACAAGAATTGATAGTACTCATATATGTTCTAGATATGGACACTTTTTGGATTCAAGGCGTGGCTCATGTAATCGAATTCATGGGGTAACAAGTGATTGTGAAATTGAATTAAAATTTCATAAAATTTGAAAACGCTTTTCAATTTTCTTGCATTAACTACAACTGTTTTAACATTTTTCCCATTATCACCACATCACAAAAAATTGAAAATTAGTTTATCGGGTTTTATTAGTGCAGGGTTCTTTCTCAAATCTCAATTTTATATGAAAAGTGATATAAACGTTTCATGTTATGAGTCATTCTTGTTCTTCCAATATAAATCATAACTTTCTATATATATATATATATATATATTGCAAATTTATAAATTTTCATTGATTTTTATTGATCTCTGCACATCGTCTTCAAGACGATGTGAAAATATTAATTTTTTGCGTCTTATTATTTCAAGTCATTTTTGGTTTTCTTTCGAACATTTCTTATTTTATCTTATTCTGACTTGTCAACTCTAGTACGGCAATTCATATCATTATCGCATGATTGATGATAACCATCTAATCTGCACACGACCTTTTGAATTACTGTTGATTCACAATGCGTGGTCTGTCTGGATGAGGTGCCAAAATCAAACACCATTCGAATCTCATTATCATATTATTTTATTGTTCAAACACCATCATGGCTTTTGACGAAGGTATAGAAGATGGTGCAATGCTACAATGCTCTCCTATTCAATCGATATTTGTCAAATCTTTGGCAAGGGACCCGCATTAAGGTCCGTTCTCATGCGCAGTCTTTATTTGTGTGCGCCTATCTCGGCAAGAAACGTGCATCTCTGTAAGAGGTCGCATAGTTGACCTAGTCCCGTTTGGCGTATGGTGTGGGTGTGAGTGTATGGTGGTGCGCGAGAGTGCGAGCACTCGACTATTCCCGCCCCGGGTCGACACTCTTGTCTGCCATCGTGGTCCCAGGTCATTTGTATGGGCAGGGTTCCACGTTGCGCGGTGGTCCGTTTTACGCCACGCGTTTGTTTTGCCATATGTCCTGTTGTGCTCATATATGCTATTCGGCATTTTACTAGTTAGCTGCTGTTGTTGAATGATTGGCCAGATGTTCAGCTTCCCTTCATTTTCATCATTGATCGAATTCTACTCCATCCTATGCGACATGTTTCTATATTGTTTTATTATCTCGTTTTAGCATGCCTAATACTATTCGCTGTATTCCAGTACTAATTTTTATATTTTTAGCATTATGTTAGGGGTGCCGTTCATCGACCGCTGGCTCTCTAGTACTTTTAAACCGAAAACTTTTGACGATGCCGTTGACCGTCTCAGTTACGTTACGACAGCAACACTTCTCACTTTTTTCTCAATTATGGTCTCATGCAAACAGTAAGTTTAAATTTTTACTGGGTCCCATGATTTGTGCGACCGCATTGCTGCAAATCCCCTACCGCCAATCCTGAAGTGAACTGTCTCAGTTTTTACGCTTGACTTACACACTGCGAGTGACGGTTCCGCCATTTCCGCACAATGTTTGCACATCTTCGATATGCTTGAGCTCAACACAATCGGCGTCGAAATAGTTATTATTCATAACATGATTGGTGTACGTAGCCGCGCGAAAAATTTATGACAGCGGGAGGTGTCTGCAGCGCAAGCATACATTATTGATTGATCGGCTTAGCATGGAAATCATCATCAATTTAGATATGTCGGATCTGCTATTCAATGCTGGATGCCCATGGAATTCAAAGGAGGATGGGAGCAATACGCCGAGGACTACTGCTTCATTCAAAATACCTTCTTCATTCCTGAAAGAGAGGAAATTCCAGGCGATGTCAGTGAGCGTCAAAAAGCGGAAATTGGTTATTATCAATGGGTGCCAATTGTTCTTGCCATTCAAGCCTTCATGTTTTATCTTCCATCGTGGCTCTGGTCGTCATTGTACAAGCAATGCGGTAAATTTTTGTAGTTCGGAGCGTTTTTTTAATAAGACATAATCTGCAGGTCTCGATTTTCCTTCCGTGATAAATGAAGCCGAAGCACTTCGTACGAATGACTCCGAGAGCAGAAGGAAGGGTATCCACAAGCTCGTCGTTTTCATTGAAGACATCCTTGCAACGCGTGAAAAGAACGACTATGGCCGATTCTACTGCTATAGATTTGGTACACATTTGGGATCATGGACATCGGTCTTCTACGTTCTTATCAAAGTTTTGTACTGCGTTAACGTCGTTGGGCAATTCATAATTCTCAACAAGTTCATCGGACATGAGAACTTCTTCTGGGGAATCACGGTAAAAAAAAGCAAATTTAAAAATTTCTTAAATTCAAATTTTGTTTTAGACTTTCTACGATTTGGTTCAAGGACGCGAATGGCAAGATTCTGGAGTGTTCCCACGTGTGACCATGTGCGATTTCTCGGTCCGCAAGCTAGCTAACGTTCACAGATACACTGTTCAATGCGTTCTCATGATCAATATGTTTAACGAAAAGATCTACCTGTTTATCTGGTAAGTATATTGAAACAATATGATTTTTAAACAATTATATGATAACAACCAATCAAATAATTTTTCTCAGGTTCTGGTTTGCTTTTGTTCTTCTCGCCACCCTTATCAACACAATTTGCACCATCTACCGTCTCGGCATTTCCAAGGCTCGTATTCACTACGTCCGAACCCTTCTTTCTGGACCGGAACACAACTTCAAGGATGAGTCGTCTAAAGAACCAATAAAGAAGTTCACCAATTATGCTCTTAAATCTGGTAAGACATGTCTTTCGAGAAACTATTGTGTATCTCTTTTGTTTTAGATGGTGTTCTTCTCATGCGATTTATTGACGATCATGCCGGAGCAATGATTACTAAAGAAATATGCGAGAATTTGTTCACAAACTACTTGGAATCCGTAATAGCTCATTGAAGACATTATTAACTGTAATATTCGAGTTTTCAGACGCCATACCATCACCCAAGCCATATGCACGGACACTCCACCAAATCAGCAACACCAGGAATGGAAGGACCGCATGAGAGTCTTTACACTCCAGAAAAAGTTGGACTAATGGCTCCTGATTATCCGATTAAGAACGTTTGAAATGGTTAACTGGTATCCACGATCAAACTTCACATTTCGAGCATCTCAATTTTTCCTGTCTATTTTTAGCAACTGTATTCATTTTTCTTTATTTCTGTAATTCAAATGTTTTTGGTTTTACTATTGTTTATAATCAATTATGTGCTATTTCTTGTAATTCACTTTCTATTAATTGATATTTTTGCATAATCATATTATTGGTTTCGATTGGATGTTCGATATGATGACGATTGCACTTTCGTTCTAAACGATTACGAGTTTTTGCTTTATTCAAGATGCCGATAAATATGTTTTAACAGGAATGTTCTATGCATAATTACAACGACACGTCATTCAGAATAATAATATCCATGTGCCGACTCACGGCGGAAATGAACAAAGAGGCGGTGTTGTTTCTTGGCTTTCTTAATTATGGTTTGCTTTGGTAGAATGGTATTAGTGACATTCGACGATCATTATGATCCTGCGTCGAGACGAAAACAAAAAAACAAAAATAGGAATGTTTTATTCATACGGCATTCATTCAAAATTTCTATATACCTGTACTATGCACATTATCTTAAATAATGAACACAATAATAATGTGTAGTGCTTAATTTTCTAACCAGCTTAAATCACGAATAGTACTTGTTTCTTTAAAGGCAAACAAATAAAAACCCCACATAGTGCCGTATAGGTCCCCCGCGGTCCAAATTTTGTGTAAAGCATAGTTCAGTATAGGTTTCCTGCGGCGTCATCGTGTTGGCACCATGAATGCCATACTAATGTACGCGGCGCCTATTCATTTCTATTATATACATTTTTGCTGATTTTAACGGTTTGAACGTGAATCGCTTTTAATTTTTCGAAATTTTGTTATAAATAGAGCGTCAATGTAAGTTAGCATTTATATTTCAAATAATATGTTTTTAGAAAAAAAGTGTTCACCTTTTATGAAATATCTATAATTTCAGTCAAATTTCAATTTTTCCACTAATTTCATTGGAGGGACCTCTTCTATGGAGATATCTGCAATTTCTCGCGGGGAGTTATAACGCATCTTGTGGGGAGCCTATCTGCAGGATTGCCAGGAATCAGTGTTGTTAAATTTTGGGGCCGGCTTTTTTCGCTGTCAAATTTTCGGCCCGCGATTCGGCCCCCGACTCCGCGGTTTACGGCCGCACGGCCGAAGCGGGAATTCAAAAAAAAAGCCGAAAGCCGGGCCGGCCGGCCGGCTTTCGGCCCCGGCTTCAATTTACCAACCCTGCCAGGAATGGAAAATCAGTTTCTCAGTCTACTAAAAAATGATGCAGTTAAGATCCCCACAATGAAGAACAGGTACCCATCAATATACGCAGCCATAGTGAAGTTGAAGTACTTCAGTGAAGAAGAGGTCCCCACTTTCAGTGTAAGTGTGTTCGCTGTGGGGACCTATATTCGTGAGATTTCATCTGTAATATCGCCGCTCTAAAAATATTTTATGGTGAAAAAATCAGATTTCTTTCTTTTTCACAATGTTTTTTGATAAATCCCTCTCGAATTGGTTGTCAAAAAAAACGAGCGTCAAAATTAAATCTGTGCAACATCATGGAATGTTCATTTGCATGTGCTAAATTGCATTTTCTTATTTTTAGGCTTAACGCTGTGAAAGTGCAAACGTACATATATTTATAAGAAACGTCAGAAAAATTATTACAATATTAATGAAAATTGGGTTCACAGAATACATATTAATTCCGACTTGAAATTTGCGTATTATTAATTTATGGTGTTCGGAATTTTCGGCAAATTCCAGTATTCGTATCACATGTGGTGCCGATTGGACAAGTCCCCGGACACGCAATCGATGCTGGCCCACTAAACGCAGTCCGAAAGTTACGGCAAACACCTGGCAATCATAAAAGTGTGATGAGTGTCGGGAAATGAGCAGAAAGTTCAGATGCATATGATCGGCTCACCTGTGTTGTAATCGCATTGCTGTGGAGGCACACATGCCGTTGAACACGATTGAGGACTAACTGGCGAATAAGCAAAGACGGCGATTAATACAAGATATATTATGAAGTTCATCTGTTAAAAAATTATGATTAGCAGAAAAATAAATGCAAAGTCACAGAAAATTGGGAAATGAAGAAAACGGTCGTGTTCCTGAACTCAATATTTGTTCAATTTCTGTTTTAGCAAACAACATCTCGCTCCGATTGCAAGTTTTTACTCATTTACAAATATTTATGTCGATTTTTAATATAATCTCAACTCCTTTGAATTTTGAAACAGCAATGGAACTATTCATGTAAAAAATAAAAAAATTTTAAATGGATTTTTCTTCATTTTAATTTCATATGCACACATGATAATAAACACAAAAAAAAATTACGCAATTATTTTCAAAAGGCCATGGGAAATGTAGCGCAGATCACGTAATTTACTGTAATGTTTTCGTTTTTTTTTTAAGTTTTTTTTTTTACAATGGTTGGTTCTTTTCCTGGAAATGTTGTTTTTCAAAAAGTAAAAAGACTGAAACAAAGACAAACACTACAGCCAATTGGTACTTGAATTTTAAAAAAAATCAACCAATTTTTTTTAATTGAACAGTGTAATGAGAATGGAATTAAATAGAGTGCACTTTACACTAAAATTGGCACCGATATTCAATATGACAGCCAATTTCCTTCGAAAATTTATAAAACGTTCAAATTACTGGAAATTTATTTCTGTTTTTTTGTGTTGAGACAATAGGGATACTGTAAGTTTTTTGTCTCAAAATTATCGAAATAACCTTAAATGATTCCAGTAAGGAAAAAAACTATTTTTAAGAAGGAGCAAGACTCATTTTTAAGGCACTTGAAAATGCTGATGTTTCCAAAATCGCTTTTAATGTCCTTTAATTTTATACGGTTAATTGTGATCTGGAACAAAATTTCTTGTACATCTTGCACATTCATATAGTATGTGCAGCTGCGCATCTGCACATCTGTGTTTTGTATCACCCCAACTAGTTTTACAGATGTTTAATATTACTGTGTTAACACATGTGCTCGAGGCCGAATATTTCTATCAACACTTTTTTTCAAGACGAAAATTTTTACAATTGCGTCAAAGAAAATTCATTCTTGTATAATAAAATTTTTGATATTCGATGCTATGAGAAAAAAATAATGCTAATCAATTCACAAGGTCTCAACAAGCTTTACAACTCATTTTCTTCGATAAGAATGGGTAAAATCATATTCAGGGACGCTTTTACATTTTATCAAAGCAAGACATCTGAACATTGCGATACAGATCATTTACAGGGTTCAACTTCTTCTGCAATTAATAGAACAGAAGAACAAATTGCAAAAAAAAACGGAGTACTTATAATAGGCAAAAAAGTTTGATGGTTGAATGATTGATACATGTTTTATATTCACACCATATGCTATTATAAAACAAAAACAATTATTTGTGTATCATAAAGATTTTAATACACAATGTTATCCGGTTGTGTTTAATGTTATAAGTTCGGCGAAAAAAACCTTTATTGAATTATTTATTAACAAAAAAAGATCAAAATTTTCAAGTGTCCGCTTGCCAAAATTCATCACAATCAATCGACAACTGAATGGGGAAGGGACATCAGGTCCTCTCGGAGATCACATCAGAAGGGGTAGGGGGAGTTGGGTGATTAAATGGAAGTGGTGATTATAATACGATTAATATTCATTAATATCACGTATTTGAGAGGGGGGTCTCGAATTCTTCTCAGGTTTCGGTACACCTTAAGGGCTGTACAAAAGCAAAATAAATGAATGTTTTATGTTTTTTAGTGCGTATATTTTTTTGTTTTCTTAAGATTTTATATAAGGCAAATCACACAAAAAACTTTAAAAATGTAGCCTGTAATATGACATATTAAGCGGGCTGTGTTTGTACTACTAGATGCACCTCATTAAAACTCTACGTTTATTGGTGTATTTTTTCGAGTTTTCTAACCTAGCGAGAGGAGAGCATTATGCATTCCTACTTGACAAAACGCCCACAAAGCCTATTCTATTCTGGAAACTACGTGAGGTGCTATTAACTATGTGCAATACCCGTAAACGGCAGAAGCTAGTGAAAAGCTCTAATCACTCCTTTTACAAGGTCTACGCAGCTGCAATCCGTTATGCAGTTGAGGTCACTCTGTTTTTTTTTGCTGAATCGGATTACAATTTTCAGAAGATCTATATGACATGATGACCAAGAATAGGTGCATTGAGGGGATCCGTCAAGGAATCCGAGGGGTGATGGAGCATGTGCTTGATTTTTCCTATCCGATGGGTGCGAAGGGTGGTTAAATGCTGGTGAGGGGTGGGGATTGGAATACCACTAGGGTCTGATAGGGAGAAGTTGATATACGACCTGCGTAAATATTGTTGATGCGATTCTCTTCGTGGAATAAAAAAAATTTCAGTGTCGTCGTCAAGAGGTGAACTCGACGTCGGGCCAATCGAAAAAAGATGATCTTCCTTTAAAAGCGCCGATACTACATACTGAAAAGAACCATTGTTGATTTCAATAAATTTTCTGTACCTATAAAGATTAAGACCAGTTCCTGCATACAAACTCTAGAGTTTAATGCTCCATGGTGGAATAACGCTATCCTACCGCGTTCCACTTGGTCCCAAGGAGGTCTCTGAAGTGCCTTTATGGTAGATGTATGAAGAGAGGCGAATCTAACCTTCTCTTGAATTGTCTCCAAGTAGATGACTGGCAGAGAGGGTGTTGCCGTCGAATCCTGGGAAGAGACCTGTAAGTTAAACATTAGAATTTGTATTCGAACCGTAATGTTGAATATGACTGAGCGACCAATTGACGAGGCAAATCAAGTAATGGTAGAAGGCGGGAGAAGGCAGCAGAGGGGCACGTCTAGACTGGGGCGCCACTACTCTTCGGAGTGTTCACATTTGCATGTGCACTAAACTGAAGTGAACAACCCCCACCACATCGGCAGTCTTGCCCCCGATGCCACGCCTCTTCTCGCGTTGGGCCAAATGGAG